GAGATCTGAGGGCAAGAGAAGGGCATACATAAGATGGGAGTACCTAACTCTTTTCTTAGTCTCTGTCCCCAAGTCCTGTCCAGGGTTCATGTCAGCCTCCCTGCTTTCCCATACCTTTCACGTAGGGATTGCCATTCTGATCCTCATATAGCCGCAGAATCTGCCTCTTGCGCTGTTGGTTAGGTGGTTCTAACAGATCATAAAGCAGTTCATTGTAGATCTCAAAGAAGGAGATCCAGATGGAGAAGCGAATGTCTGCAGGTACACTTATGGGGGCACTGTCTGGCTGTGCCCATCGGTTACTTGTTTCTGAGGAAGAAGCAAATGTACATCAACTCTAGAGTAGTCCATCTCCCCTTTGGCTTGCAGGGTCCTCAGAAGGCAGAGCTCAGGTTGCAACCTCTGGTCTATACTCCTGGCAGTTCTTGAGAGCAGGGAGTGGGTTCTTACTGTGACTTGGCACTGAGCCCAGTCATGTTACTTACCATCTAGCTGGCTACTGCTAGTAAACTGACTGGTGGAGGAGAGCCCAGCAATGCCACTGTCAAAGCTGGTGCTGGTACCTATCCGATTTTCAATGTAGACACTCTTCTTCAAGGAGGTAGACAGTTCCTCCTGGAGGGCCCCAGGGAGAAAATAAGTATAAAATTTTCCAGAGATTTGTCCCCTTATCCCCACCTCTGTAGACACTAACACTTCACCTCTTGGAAGCCTCCATTTAGCAGGGCCAGTTTCTTCATTTCCTCCTGTCGGATCTGCTTGCTGTCAAGCCAGATTACCTCATTACAGAGCAACGGCTTCAGATCAGGTGTGGGATGAAGTTGGCCTTGGAGACTATTGAAGATCAGAGCCAGGGACCGGGGCAGGATCCCTCCGTCTTTGATGGTACCTAGAGGAATGTAAAAGATGGGTAGCTGAGGCAAGTGCCTTTCTCCTCCAATTGTCAGCATCCAAAGGCAATGACAATACCATTACAGGCAATCAGCAATCCTGTGAGGCCTACTACTCACCTTGAATCGTGTGGGTTTTTCCTGAGTTGGTGACTCCATATGCATAGATAAGCCAGTTCTGTCCTTTGAGTACGTCTTTTACCATCTCCTTCACAGTCAGGTTGAAGAATGATGCTTGTCCTACTTCTGGCCCAAAGATCTAGAGACAGACCCAGTTTCTTGGAGACCTTTCATCTCCCATTTGCCTCCGGTGCAGAGCTAGCAGATGCATCTCTTCCTGGGTGGTTGGCTCTGGACAGTGCTCTAGCCACTTCTTCCTGCAGTGCTGCCAGCTGCTCCCTAAACACTGAGGACTCAACTACTCTCTGCCAGTCCATCTTTCATCCAGATTAACAAATACCTAAGGTATGCTATCCACTAAGTCCAATGCTGCATACACAATGGGGCAACATAATGGTCACAAGCATCTGTACTATCCTCAGATGGAACCTGTAGCAGATTCAAGTCCTAACTCTACCACTGACTAGCTTCAGCAACATTACCTTCACTGAGCCACAGTATCCTTGTCAGGAAAATAGGGACAATATGATAATTTTAAGAGTTGTTGGGAATTAATGCACATAAAGTACTTGACACACTGGCTAGCTCATAAGAAGGGTGCCTAAAATTGTAGACATGCCTAAACAGGGTAGGGCAAAAGTAGGTTTACAGTTCATATGGAAAATAATACAATAATTAATAATACAAGAATAAACTCTGTATTTCACACACAACTATAAAAGTACTTCCCCCACCCTCTATAAGAAGTTCACAAGCAAGTAAAAAGCTTTCCCACTAAAGAGGGAATAAGGTTGCCCCTACATGTTGGTCCCTTGTTCACAGACCAGTACCTTCATACCTTGGAAAAGGTGAACCTGTGGGTGGCTTGGCCAATTCCCCGCTCGTTACTCTTCTGGGCAAAGGAGTCTTTGGGTGCCTGTAGAACAAGGGTCTCCACATTCTCAATATGGACACAATCCTAAGAAAGGGGAAAACACAGTTGACACAGAAGGAAGCATTCCTGAGAACCTCTTCTGTATCATTCCACCTTGAATCCTCCCTCCTCAGAAACTCACCTGATCCTCCTGCCGTTCCAGCTCTGAAGGTAACAAGGGCCTGACCCTCAGATATACTTTCACCTTCTCTGTACTATCCTCAGATGGAACCTGTGGCAGAATTCCAGGCCAGAACTACAGATTAATCTCAGCAATTATCTCTAAGCAGATGGGCAAGCATAGCACAGTTCCTGAAAATAATGCTAACACTACCCTTGTTCCACCTCAAGTGTCTCTCTGTAGCTATAGCTACTCTTTGGTTCCATAATCATTCCAACCTACAAAGATTTCTTTAGTACTTTGTCCCTTTCCTACTGTCTCTTCAGTATCCTGTAATCCTGGGTTACCACACCTAGAGTTAGAACTGGTTGACTGGCATGACATAGTAAAGCACAGTAGGTAAGCACCTTGGAGGCAGACACACCTGAATTTGAGTCCCAATTCCTTCATTTAGTAACTATAAGACCTTGAACAAGTTCTTTAAATCTCTTTGCCTCACTTTCCTCATATAGAATGGGGTTAATCATATAGTACCCACCTCATTCTTTCAACAGATTTAAGAGATCTGCTTACTATGGCCCAGGAACTCTAAGAGGCATTATTGAGGCTCCTGCTCTGATAAACGTTTCTCTAAAAAGAGACTTATGGCCCTGACCGGTTTGGCTCAGTGGATAGAGCGTCAGCCTGCGGACTGAAAGGTCTCAGGTTTGATCCCGGCCAAGGGCATGTGCCTTGGTTGCAGGCACATCCCCAGTAGGAGGTGTGCAAGAGGCAGCTGATCGATGTTTCTCTCTCATTGATGTTTCTAACTCTCTATCCCTCTCCCTTCCTCTCTGTAAAAAAATCAAAAAAATATATTTTTAAAATAAAGTAAAAATAAAAATAGTCTTATGAGTAGAGTTGTTTTTAACCAGGGCCATTTCCCTCCCAAAGAACATTTAGCAGTATCAGAACAGGTTTCTAGGTTGTCACAAGTGGGAAGGTACTACTAACATTTAATGGGTAGAGGCCAGGAATGCTGCTAAGCACCTTGCAAGGCACAGGGCAGACCCATACAACAAAAAATTACCAGGTCCCAAATGTCAATGAGAACCCACCAGCTGCCATAGATGCAGGGCCTTCCACCCACCTCGCAGGTTTCTGGAGGTAAACCTGAAGGCCTTGTAGGGCCCCAGGAGTAGAGAGAAGGGAGTCAAGGGCAGGCCTGACGCCCAGCCTGAACTCCTCTGGAGGAAGGGTGAGGGCTGAGACAAGCCCTGGCAGTATTCTGCTATTCTGCTTCCCCTCAGGAGACTTACATCAAAGTTCTGCATCAAATTTCAAGGCTTTGTGATATTCTGACAAATCAGGGACTACGTGTTAAGAACCAGCCCGCCCCCAATTTGGGCGTATGTTTTGTACATAAATATAGGTCGTTATATATATGGCTACCAAAACCAACCAAACAAAAAATGTCAATAAGAAACCCCAGCCAAACACAAAGGCTTCATGAATGGAAGCTATGGTTGGCATTAAGACCTGCATGTACATTCCACCTATTTAATGGCAGTATGACCTTGTGCAAATTCTTCAAGGCCTCTGGGCCTCATGGTGGAGAGATAACTATTATCCTTCCCTCAAGGGATTAACTGATAGTGTGCACTTGAGGGTATATCATTAATGCAATGCAAACAATAGTTCTTATGGACACAAACTCTACATTTTTTTACTTGTCATGCTCTTAATTTTGAATTGAACTCTCAGACCCTGAGGAAATGCTGGTCTTTGACCTCATACTAACTACTCAGTAGAGTAGGCTGAGGATATCACTTTCTGCTCCTACCACTTTCCAACTCCTTTACCTGCTGCTTGTCCTCCAGGGAGGTGGAGATGACAGAGCAGTCTGACAGCAGGTCCTTGCGAACCACAGACCTCAAGTCTGCAACTGTGGACTCAAACATCGGGGACACTACGACATCTTCATCTGAGAGCAAGCCGGCTGGTGGAGAAAGGATCCCTCGGGACATAGCTGAGGCAACTTAGGTCTAAAAAGAGACAAAAGTGAGAACCTTAAGGACAGAAAGGGCTGCAAATTCTAGGTAAAAAACAATTCCCTTACCCCAGGACACCTCGGCATCGCCCCCTGAATTTCTACTCTTTTCCCTTCCACTATCAGCAGAGGGGAAGGGGATGATAGGAGTTAATCATTTAATCCAGTTTAAGGCAGCATTTCTGACCACGTACTGGAATGAACAGATATCTGGCTGAAAAACCAGAAGGTCACGCTCCAAGTAAGGTGCCTCGCCCACGGGTGATGTGGAGGTGGCGTCAGTAGCCCTAGGCACCTTCTCCAACCTCGCCCCCAGGGCCACAGTGAGGACAGAGGTATTAAGAAAAAAGCGATGGCAGCAGCGTCGCTTTCTGACAGCCTGTCCGGCGAGAGAAAGAGCTGGTATCCCAGCTGGACTCCAGCACAAGCGCATACTCACCCTAAGACGCGACACCAGTTGCCCGTCTGGTACCGGCCCACTCACACCCCGCCGCCGAACCCGGGTTCTGGCCTTTATAAAACAAAACTCCGCCCACGAGGTGCACCTTTGTTACTGATACAATGTTTTAAAGTACGCGCTGCCTTCGTCCGCCAATGAGATAGAGAAGCCTGCAGCTACCAATCAGCGCAAGGAAAGGGGGCGGGTAAAACTGGGAAACGGTTTGTTCCGGGCTGACCTTTCCTTTCTAATGTGCGTCCGGGTTACTAACTGTCGGAGTTTGGAGTTGGGTACCGTGGAATTCTTCCTGCTTAACACTTTTTCTTGAACCCTCAGCATTTATTTCCCACGAACGCTCAGGGAAATCCTGAGGTTTCAGCCCTCATCCTTTGTCCTTTAGCACGTTCCTTCTCAGGAGCGCAAAAGAGAGGTGGTTTTGGACGCTTGTGCGTCTTGGGGTGGGAGACTACATTTCCCAGGAGGCACACGAACAAGCCCCAAACTATTTCCCAGAGTTCCCCACGTTTCGGCCCTACAAAGCGGTCTTCCCTCGGGGGTTGAAGACTTCAGGCCAAGATGGCGACAGGAACGGGCAGTAAGTGTGTGTGCTGTTTTTGCGTGGAAAGCTTTTGTAGAGCCGAGGCCCGACACCGGGTTTCTGTCACACGCCTGGGGAGTAGGAGCAATGATTGCCTGAGAGCGCAGAGTCTTCAGAGACTTCCGCTCGACGAAAAGTGTAGGGTCTTGTGTCTTAGGGCGGCCGCAGAGGTTTGAGAAGCAGCTCAGCAAATCCTTGCATATTTGGGGACTGTGTGGAGTGAAAGATAAAGCTGCTCTAGAGACTCGGGCGTGCAGACGAAGACGTGTTGTGAGCCATACCGAGTGGCCGGCACCTCAAAGAGCCATTCACACTCCGACCAACGTTTGTGGGCCCTACTCTCCGTCACAGAGAAATGGGATAGTTTAACCAGGAGTTTTTTCTGGCCCTGGGGAAATTGCGTCTCTTGCACCTCAGCCATTTTCCTCTGTTTCGTGGACTGACAAGATCTTTTAGGCCCGACAACTCAAGGGGGATCGGGGGTGGGGATTCTGAAAGCAGTAAACAAGTTTTTGCTTAGAAGGAGGCGGGGCAGTAAGGGGTGGCTACTCGGAATCCTGGGAAATAAGTCCTGGCGCTCAAATTGGGATAAAGTATGTATTATTAAAACGGCTTTTTGGGAGAACTGCCTTATCTTAATCTGACATTGTCTGTTTTTTATTTTATTATTTATTTATTTATTTATTTATTTATTTTAAAAATATATTTTACTGATTTTTTTTTTTTTTTTGGTACGGAGAGGAAGGGAGAGGGATAGAGAGTTAGAAACATCAATGAGAAAGAAACATCGACCAGCTGCCTCCGCAACCAAGGTACATGCCCTTGACTGGAATCGAACCTGGGACCCTTGAGTCCGAAGGCCGATGCGCTATCCACTGAGCAAAACCGGCCAGGGCTATTTTATTTTTTTATAAAGCAGGGTAGTCATGAAGAAATTAAATATTTTGCCAGATACTCATTGCAATTCGCACGCAATGAATAGGTACCACCCACCCAGTGGTGATATTTTACTAGCCAGGTGAAAATCAGGATTTGGTGATAGAGCTCACTTTGTCCTTACAAGTTGGGATGTTTTGTGTTAGGCTTCTAGACTTCTGGTTGGGGCCAAGAACTAGTGCCTCAGTGGTTGCTTCTAAACTTTCTCTCCTTTCAGAACACAAGCTGTTGAGTAGTGGCCCCACAGAACCATGGTCCATCCGAGAGAAGCTGTGTTTAGCATCTTCTGTCATGAGGAGTGGGGATCAAAATTGGTAAGATATTTAGGATGTCTGGTTTCTTGGGTCTTAAAAATTCTTGGGTATTTTTTTTTTTTTACATTAGTGGATTCCTGTAATTAGTCATACTGATCTGTAAGCAGTATCCTAAATAATGAAAGGGTAATATGCAAATTGACCCTAACAGTGGGGAACAACTGGTTGCTATGATCAGCACTGACCACCAGAGGGCAGACGATTAATGTAGGAGCTGCCCCCTGGTGGTCAGTGCCCTCCAACAGGGGGAGCTCTGCTCAGCCACAAGCCGGGTAGTGGGAGTCTCTCCTGCCTCCTTGGTAGCTCTAAGGATGTCTGACTGCCAGCTGAGGCTCAATCCTGGGAGTGGGCCTAAGCCAGCAGGTGGACATCCCCTGAGGGGGTCCCAGACTGCAAGAGGGTGCAGGCTGGGCTGAGGGACCCCCCCCTTCCCCCCCCAGTGCATGAATTTTCATGCACCGGACCTCTATTCTATATATAAAAGCCTAAGCAATCGGTAGCAGTGATGCACACTGACCACCCGGGGGCAGACACTCAACGCAGTAGCTGCCTCCAGTGATCAGTGCGCTCCCACAGCGGGAGTGCTGCTCAGCTGACCGAAGTGAACCTCTCCCACCTCAGCGCTACCGAACTGCAGTTGCAGGTGCAGCGGGGCTGGGATGCGTGGAAGTGGTGCCCTCCTGGCTCAGGCTCCTCCCTGGCTGCCTGCAGCTTCAAGCACTACTACATCCCTTGGCAGTCCGACATCCCCCAAGGGGTCCCGGATTGCAAGAGGGCACAGGAGAGGCTGAGGGACCCCACACTGGGCCTCTAGTTTCTTTTATAACAGTTTTATTAAGATAATTTACATACCATAAAATTAACACAATGTATTCACAGAATTTAGTATATTCAGAGTTGTGCAACTGTCAGTCACTGTACAATCTCCACCTCATCTAATCATTTACTTCTGTTTCTATGGATTGCTTACTCTGGATATTTCATATAAATGAAATAGTAATTTGTGATCTTCTGTGACTGGATTTTTTTTTTTTTTACTTGGCATAATACTTTCAAGGTTCTTATTGTATCATGTGTCAGTACTTTTTCTTTGTATGACTAAAATAATGGTCTGTATGAGTATACCACATTTTGTTTATCCATTCATCAGTTGATGAGCATTTGTGTTGTTTTAAGTTGATGTTTAACTTTTTGAGGAACTGCAAAATTATTTATAGTTTTATTGATTTCAGAGAGGAGGGGAGAGAGAGATAGAAACATCAATGATGAGAATCACTGATCGGCTGCTTCCTTCATGCACCCCACTGGGGATCTGAGCCCACACTCCAGGCATGTGCCCTTGACTGGAATCGAACTCGGAACCCTTCAGTCCTCAGGCTGACACTCTATCCACTGAGCCAAACCAGCTAGGGCTACAAAATTACTTTTTTTTAACAGTGGCCCCACCATTTTATATTCCCACCAGCAATAAATGAAGGCCCAAATTTCTCTATGTTCAACACTTTTTTAAAAAATGTCACTGATTTTTAGAGGGAGAGAAAAGGAGATGGATAAAGATAGCAACATCGATGAGAGAGAAACATCATAGATCAGCTACCTCCTGCACACCCCTTCTAGGGATCGAGTCTGAAACTGTGGCATGTACCCTGACCTGAAATCGAATCAGTGACCTCTTGGTTCATGGGTCAACAATTCAACCACTGAGCTGCACTGGCTGGGCTATATATATGGATTATATATATGGGCTATATATATAAAAATCTGGGTTCATTTCTTGTTTGTCTTTTTTATTATAGCTGTACTAGTGGATATGCAGTGGTATCTCATTGTGGTTTTGATTTGCATATCCCTAATGCCTAATATTGAACACCTTTTCACATGCTTATTAGCCATTTGTATGTCTACTTTGGAGAAATGTCTGCTCAGATCCTTTGGATTACTTATATTTATTACTAACTTTTAAGAATTCTTTACCCTGGACACAAATCCTTGTCAGATAACTTTCAAATATTTCTCCTTTTTTGTGTATTGTCTTACGTTCTTTTTTTTTTATTATTTTTTTATTTTATTGATTTTTTACAGAGAGGAAGGGAGAGAGATAGAGAATTAGAAACATCGATGAGAGAGAAACATCGATCAGCTGCCTCCTGCACATCTCCCACTGGGGATATGCCCGCAACCAATGTACATGCCCTTGACCAGAATCGAACCTGGGACCCTTGAGTCCGCAGGCCGACGCTCTATCCACTGAGCCAAACCGGTTTCGGCTTATCTTACATTCTTGATTGGTATTGTTGATAGCACAAAAGTTTTTCATTTTGATGTGTCCAATTTATGTATTTTTTTCTTCTGTTGCTTGTGTTTTTGGTGTCATAGCTAAGAAACCATTTATTTTTATGTTTTCTTTTAAGAACTTTATAGTTTTAGCTCTATACAATTAGGATCCATTTTGAGGTAATTTTATGTATGTTGTAAGGCAGGGGTCTCTTTTGCATGTAGATATCCACTCTCCTAACACCTAGTATTTGTTGAAAGACTATTCTTTCATTGAATTGTTTTGGCACTCCAGTTTTTCTTTTTAAGTGTCAAATAGTAGGACTCTGGTTTCCAATCTTTTTTGCTACTAGGACATACACTTTTTCATTTTTAACGTTTCTCTTTTCCCCCCTTCTTTCCCTCAGGATCCAAGGCCATTTTAATTGTCTTAAGCCTTATAGTTTACTATACATATTTGTGTTTACATGGTATGTCTCTACTACTTTAACCATTCAGATGAGTTTACAAAAGCACTGTTATTGGTTATCTTTAGCATTTCTGCCACTTTATCTATCTAAAAAATAACTTTTCAAAGATGTCAATGGGGCCATAGCTGGTTTGGCTCAGTGGGTAGAGCATTGACCCTTGGAGTGAAGGGTTCGGGTTTGACTCCGGTCAAGGGTGGGTACCTGGTTTACAGGCTGGATCTCTGGCCCTGATCATAGCGCATTCAGGAGTCAACCAATTGGCGTGTCTCTCTCATATCAATGTCTGTTTCTCCCTGTCCCTTCCACTCTTAAAATCAATGGAAAAATGTCCTCAGGTGAGGATTAACAATCTAACAGACAAAAAAAATCAGTTCAACTTATATTTGAATTGAGTTATATTTAAGTTAAAACTGAAATTTATCAAATTAGTGTGGTTCATTTTGTCTTGGGGTTTACCATTTACTTTGATGCAAGAACAGCTGCTACATAGAATATCTCACACCTTTTTAAAAAAATATGTTTTTATTAATTTCAGAGAAGGGAGAGAGAGAAATAGAAACATCAATGATGAGAGAGAATCATTGATCGGCTGCCTCCTACATGCCTTCTACTGGGGATTGAACCTGCAACCCGAACATGTGCCCTGACTGGGAATCAAACTATGATGAAGGGAAGGGCGGCGGGGCAGAGAAACATCCACAGCTCAGACACATCAATCAGTTGCCTTCCACATTCGCCCCAACTGGGACCAGGAATCAAACCTGCAACCCAGGTATGTGCCCTTGTCTGGGAATTGAACCCAAGACCCTATGGTGCTTGGGTCAACGCTCCAACCATTGAACCACACTGGCAAGGACTGAATTGATTTTTTTAAACAAACCGCCAAGTAAATTGGTTTGGAATACAGTCTAATCTGTATATTTCCTCACATTTTTATTAGAAAAATAATGTGAAAACACTTTGAAATTTTAAATTGGTATTTATTTTTTGAGGAAGTACTAAGACATAAGGTTCAAAGTTCAAAATGGTACAGTGTCTTTATCCCATCACTGTATCTCAGTTCCCATGTTAGCAGTTTCTTGTGTGTTTCTCTAGCATTAATTTTGTATATATGAACAAAAATATATTTTCTTTCTCCTTTTTAAATATCTTTTTATTGATTTCAAAGAGAAGGAAGAAGGGGAGAGAGAAACAATGATGAGAGAGAATCACTGATTGGCTGCCTCTTGCACGCCCTTACTGGGGATGGAGCCCACAACTTGGGCACGTGCCCTGACCTGGAATCGAACTGTGAGTTCCTGGTTCATGGGTCTATGCTCAACCATTGAGCCATACCGGCTGGGCATATTATATCTTTTAGGTCTTTGTATAGCTGTATATCAGGATCTGTCTTTTTGCTGCTGTTTTTAACAGCTGCATGGTATTGTTTTGGGATATATCATAAACTGGTACTGTCTTAATGGACACTTGCTAACAAATGCAATCTTGCATAGTTATGTATAAGTTATATCTAAAATAAACTGAAAGTACAATGATTGGATCAAAGAATATATGTTTATAAAATTTGACAAATATTTCAAATTGCTCTACTCAGAGATTGTTTCAATTTATACTCCCATTGATAATATATCAGAGTATCTGTTTTATATGCCCTGGTTCATATATTGTGTTTTTGATTTTGGACAATATTATAAAAGGTGAGAAATAGTTTTCCTATTTTCATTTGCATTTATTCTGTGATGAGTGAGGTTGAATATTTTCATGTGTTGAGGAGCCAATTTTATTTCCTTCTATAAACTGATTTTTCTATTTGATTACATCCTTTTAATTTGGGGGGCTCCTTATGTATTGGAGAGATTAATCATTTGAGGTGTGAGATGCAGCTTTTTGTGCCGTCTGACTTACAGTGATATTTTTACCTTAAAACTTTTAAGCCCTCGACACATAGCTCAGTTGGTTAGAGCATGGTCCCAATATGCCAAGGTTATGGATCCCTGGTCAGGGCACATACATGAATCATCCAGTAAATGCATAAATAATTGGAAAATCAAATCCATCTCTCTCTGTGTGTCTCTGTCTCTGTGTCTCTGTGTCTCTCTGCCCCCTCCCTCCCTCTCTAAAATCAATCAATAAAAATAAATAGTTAAAATATTTTTAAAATGTGAGTTGTTAATAATTTTCTTTTGCAGCTCTTGGATTTTGTGTCATAAATAGAAAGTTCTTCTCCAGTCTGAAATATAAAATAATCTTATGATTTCTTCTAGTACTTTCATTGCTAAATTTTTTGTACATTTAAATCTTTGGTATATTTCGGACTTTTCTCAGTATAAGTTGTAAATTATGGATCAAATTTTATTTTTTGGTTATAGCTATCCATATAACAATGTTAAAATTAACTTTCCCTTTAAAAAGAGTTCTGTGATACTGTTATCCCAACATAAAATTTAAAAACTTTTTAAAGTTATGAAATATTTCAACCTCATAGAGAAGTATGGAGAATAATAAATCTAGATTGCCCATGTACTCAGTACCTGGACAGAACAAATCTTAATATACTTTTAAAAATATATTTTTATTGATTTAGAGAAAGAGGAAGGGAGAGAGAGAAACTTCAGTTGTCCTCTATATGTGCAGTGATCTGGGCCTGAACCGGAAACCCAAGACTGGGAATCCAACTGGCAACCTTTCCGTGCACAGGACGACAATCAACTGAGCCACTCTGGCTGGGCCAAATCTTAATATTTTGTCATGTTTTCTTCTTAAAGAAATAGACAGTTTGAAGCCCCTTTACAGTTTTTTCTACACTTTTTCTTGATCTCATTCCAGTCTAACTTTTCATTTTTGCCTGTTTGTCTTTATACCTGCAACTTTTTAAAAGGCTGTATAATTACTTATAGCAGAAAATTGTCATCTTTTCTATTTAATATTATTGTTATAAATATCCATGTCACCACATATTTCATAGTTATATTTATGGACTGTTTAATTCATAGAGTTGAAGAGCCATATGGTAAACATCCTTTTGCAGGCATTTAGGAATAATCTATTCACAATTCTGATCAAGTCTACACCGTACTTCTTGGTGCTTGCTTATTTTGTCAAATTATTTTTTTTTAATCCTCACCTGAGGATATTTTTTCCATTGGTTATTTAAAAATATATTTTGCCCTGACCATTTTGACTCAGTGGATAGAGCGTTGGCCTGCGGACTGAAAGGTCCCAGGTTCAATTCCGGTCAAGGACATGTACCTTGGTTGCGGGCACATTCCCAGTGAGGGGTGTGTAGGAGGCAGCCGATCGATGTTTCATTTTTATTGATTTCAGAGCAGAAGGGGGAGAGAGAGAGAGAAAGAGAAACATCAATGATGAGAGGGAGTCATCGATTGGCTGCCTCTTGCACGCCCCCTACTGGGGATCCAGCCGCAACCCGGGCATGTGCCCTCGACCAGAATCGAACCTGGGACCCTTCAGTCTGCAGGGTGGCGTTCTAGCCACTGAGCCAAACCAGCGGGGGCTCCATTGATGTTAATTTTTATTTTTATTGATTTCAGAGCAGAAGGGAGAGAGAGAGATAGAAACATCAATGATGAGAGAGAATCATTGATTGGCTGCCTCCTGCATGCCCTCAACCAGGAATCAAGGCTGCAACCCAGGCACGTGCTGTTAACCGTAATCGAACCTGGGACCCTTCAGTCTGCAGGCCCGTGTTCTATCCCCTGAGCCAAACCAGCCAGGGCTCCATTGATTTTTAGAGAGAGTGGAAGGAAGGAGGAGAGAGAGAGAAACATCGACATGAGAAAGATACATTGGTTGCCTCCTACACGTACTCAACAGGGGCAGGGGAATGAACCTGCAACACAGGTACATGCCCTTGACTAGGAATCAAACCTGCGACCCTTCCATGCAAGGGCTGATGCTCTACCACTGAGCCATACCAGCCAGGGCTATTACATTATTTTCTTATATTACATTACTAGGAACTATATTTTTGGGTCTGTATTATATTATAAATTGCTTTTCAAAAGGCAGATCTTTCTAAGAAGCCAAAATCAACATAAAAACATTTCCCCAAATGAACAGAAATGATGCTTTATTAGGTTCTAATACCTTCACTTCACCCAGGAAATATATCACCTAGGAAAACTGTTTAGCAATCACTCCTTCTCAATGACTTTAAATTTAGTCATGTCGCCCTGGCCGGTTTGGCTCAGCGGATAGAGCGTCGGCCTGCGGACTCAAGGGTCCCAGGTTCGATTCCAGTCAAGGGCATGTACCTGGGTTGCGGGCACATCCCCAGTAGGGGGCGTGCAAGAGGCAGCTGAATCGATGTTTCTCTCTCATCGATGTTTCTAACTTGCTATCCCTCTCCCTTCATAGTCACATATTACAGTGTACCTCCCAATGGCAGTTTTTTACTCCAGGGTTTGTACTCCAAATATTGAACTCTCAGTGTACTTTTCCTCCCCCCTCCCTTTTTTTTTCTTCTGTTTGGTGTGTGTTCATGCTTTTCTCATTTTATAGGGTATCAGTTAGCAGAGCAATCAAGCCCTTTGCAGAACCTGGCCGCCCTCCAGACTGGTTCTCTCAAAAAGTAAGTTCCCAAGCAAGTTTTAGAGCAATCTCTGAGATGTGAAGTGGGTTCCCTGCCTTTTAATCACAAGGCTTTTATACCATGAGTAGGGAAAGTAGTTGAGAATACCTTTTCATTATCCGTTATTTGCTTATCCATGCATGTCAGTGTAGCATAACTGTTAAGAGCCCCCTTTCAAAAAAGAAAAAAATGTCTAAAAGTAAAAAAAACAAACACAAAAAAACAAAAGACCCCAAGCTTGGGAATTAAATAGATCTGGGTTTAATATGACTCTACTTGAAAACTTTGGACAATGAGCTTCAGTTTTCTCATTTGCAAAGTAGCGATAAAAGTTGCTTCAGGATTGTTTTGAAGATTCAACTGAGGTAATACCTATAAAACATTTAGTACAGTGCCTTGCATATGGTAACTACTCAGTAGATAATAGCTATAAATATTGGCTATTAGGTTATCTTTTTATTTTGAACTGATTTGATGCTAAGTAATTTGCTCTCCTAGAAACATTCATGTCTTCCTTCTCTAAACTTTAGTTTATGTTGAAATTTTCCTGGCTTGCTCAACTTTCACTTTTTTTCCATAGCATTGTGCTTCTCAGTACTCTGAACTTCTAGAAACTACCGAGACCCCAAAGTAAGTACAAAACCAGGCACTCAAGCTAAATCTCTTTAGTGGAGAGTGTTTACTGAGGAAGTCTGGTTTATATCTATTTATATTACTGGGTGATAAAAGTATTGGAGCAGTTATCTGTGGTTAGGTGGTGGTGGAAAAGGCTCAAAGAAAGCAAATGGGAATGGGAACAGATGTTCTCTTATTCAAATGTATATATGTTTTAATTTTCCACAGACGGAAACGGGGTGAAAAAGGAGAAGTGGTGGAAACTGTTGAAGATGTCATTGTTCGGAAATTGACTGCTGAACGAGTTGAGGAACTAAAGAAAATGATAAAGGAAACCCAGGAAAAATATAGGTACTTATCAGAGAAATGCCAAATGATTGGGGAAGACAAAAGAGACTGACTTCTAATACTGGTCAGGATTTTTATTTATTTATTTATTTTTAACATTTTAATATATTTTTATGGATTTCCGAGAGGGAGAGAGAGATAGAAACATGAGTGATGAGAGAATCATTGATTGGCTGCCTCCTGCATACTCCCAACTGGAGATCGAGCCCACAACTGGGCATGTGCCCTTGACCAGAATCGAACCCAGAACCCTTCAGTCAGCAGGCCAAGGCTCTATCTACTGAGCCAAACCAGCTAGGGCAGGATTTTCTTCTTCTTCTTCTTCTTCTTCTTGATTTCAGAGAGAGGAAGGGAGAGGTTAGAGAGAGAAACATTAGTGATAAGAGAGAATCGTTAATCGGACACCTCTTGTACGCTGGGGGCCCACAGCCTGGGCATGTGGTCTGACTGGGAATCGAACCGTGACCTCCTGGTTTATGGATTGATGCTTAACCCCAGAGCCACACTGGCTGGGCTGGTCGGAATTTTTTAAGTAGCAGATTAAAAATCCCAAGTCTATCTACCTCTCTTTCTTCCTACAGACGACTGAAAAGAGATGCAGAACTAATTCAAGCCGGGCACATGGACAGCAGATTGGATGAGCTTTGCAATGACATTGCAATGTGGGTTATATTATATTATTATTATTATTCTTATACTCCTTTCTCCCTCTTTACCCCTTTTCTCCTTTAGTAATCTGGCTTATTTCCTCCTTCTGCCATTCCTTTAAGACTTGAGAGATTCTGGAAAGGGAGAGCTGCATAGTGGCCTGGCATTGGGAGCGGGGGGGAGTGAGTTCTAGAAAGTAATGAGATGGATCATTTCAATGTGAGAACATAACTTAGTTCTAACTTAAAAATGGCTTCAGTTTGTGTGGATGAAGAACCAGTAGTTAGGCAGTACACTCAAAATTTCCTGTTTTGCTGATAATAATTCCTTTTTAACCCTTTCATCCAGAAACTGCTAGCCTGGCAAATAACTTCCTTGTTAGGCACTGTGAACTGGAGGAGCTAGAGCTGGCTAGGATCTAACCTTTAATTTCCTCTTTAGGAAAAAGAAATTGGAGGAAGAGGAGGCTGAAGTAAAGAGGAAGGCTACGGATGCTGCATATCAAGGTAAGCTGAGCCTAGTGACTGTTTAGTGATTGACTATACAGTATTGCATGCTAAAAGCAATTGAAAACTATTTTATAATGTAGAATCCACTGATTCCAATTTACCTGCACACTTTCCTTTGTCATCTCTTATCAGAATAAAAACATCCCTTTGGAAATAGCTCTTAGAAAATTAGCTCTGCTCAAGTCTCACTAGATCTGTGTCCTTTTAGGACACAAAGGCATGAAAATAAAAACATTGAACATAATTAAGATTTTGGAAGTCAAAGGCCTATAAAAAGATTGAGAATAGCCCAAGCACTGGATATGGAGAGGAACTTAAGCATTTGTAATTCTAGGAATACATGCTCTGAGCTCATGAGGTCTTTCCTTGTTAAAAGCAGAATCTTTTTTTTTTTTTTAAATGTTTTTATTGATTTCAGAGAGAGAAACATCAGTGATGAGAGAGAATCATCGATTGGCTGCCTCCTGCATGCCCCCTACTGGGGATTGAGCCTACAACCCTGGGTATGTGCCCCAGCTGGGAATCAAACTGAGCTCCTGGTTCATGAGTTAAATACTCAGCCACTGAGCTGTACCAACCGGGCAAAAGTAGAATCTTAATAATAAGTTGTTAAGGATATTGAGGGATGTTTAAAACACTTTCCTACTCCAAGGGTTTTTGGGATAATTGAATAGTTTAAATGTTTGCTTAATGTGCCCGGCCGTTGAGGTTCAGTGGTGTTAAACATTGGACCCGTGCACCAAAGGTCGCTCGCCAGTTCAATTCTTTTTTTTTTTTTTTTTTTTTTTTTTATATATTTTATTGATTTTTTACAGAGAGGAAGGGAGAGGGATAGAGAGCTAGAAACATCGATGAGAGAGAAACACCGCGATCAGCTGCCTCCTGCACACCCCCCACTGGGGATGTGCCCACAACCCAGGTACATGCCCTTGACCGGAATCGAACCTGGAACCCTTCAGTCCTCAGGCCGACGCTCTATCCACTGAGCCAAACCGGTTAGGCAGCCAGTTCAATTCTTGGTTAGGGCACGTGCCTGGGTTGTGTACTCGTTCCTCAGTGTGGGGCATGCAGTAGGCAGCCAATTGATCGATCAGTGTTTCTTTTTCACTGATATTTCTGTCTCTCTGTCCCTCTCCTTTTCTCTCTTTCTAAAATCAATAAAAACATTTAAAAAAAATTTTTTTTTTTTTTTTTTAGATAAAAAATTAAAAGGTGTTTGCTTAATGTAAGAATTTCTCTTGGGTAAGCTTTCTTGTTTCCCAGAGTGTTAAAGAAAGCCTTTTAAAAAATTTATTTTTAATTTAGCACTGTAGTTACTCAAAATAGGCCAAAAGGAAAAAAAAAAGCAATTCCAGCCCTAACCGGTTTGGCGCAGTGGATAGAGCACCGGCCTGCGGACTGAAGGGTCCCAGGTTCGATTCCAGTCAAGCGCATGTACCTGCGTTGCGGGCACATCTCCAGTAGGGGGTGTGCAGGAGGCAGCTGATTGTTTCTCTCTCATGGATGTTTCTACCTCTCTATTCCTCTCCCTTCCTCTCTGTAAAAAAATCAATAAATATAAAAAAATCAATAAATATATATATATATTTTTAAATATATTTTATTGATATTTTACAGAGAGGAAGGGAGAGAGATAGAGAGTTAGAAACATCGATGAGAGAGAAACATCGATCAGCTGCCTCCTGCACACCTCCTACTGGGGATATGCCCACAATCCAGGTACATGCCCTTGACCGGAATCGAACCTGGGACCTTTCCGCAGGCTGACGCTCTATCCACTGAGCCAAACCGGTTTCGGCAAATAAATATATTTTTTAAAAAATTCCATGAGTTCTAGATTTCATGAAAGGACCACGTATGGTACTATGTACATTGATTTGATATGCAAGTGTGCAATAAATATATACACATTCCTTCCTATCTGCTTTATGTCATTCTAAAGTATCCATAGGTCAAGCTGAGATTTAGAAATGTGAAAAGGCCATAACAGTGAAAATGAAAATAACAGAAGCAACAAAGAAAGCTTTCTAATCCAAACTCAGTGCTGTTTTAGTAATGCAATATTTCTATTTTTCCTTTATTATATAATAGCCAAGTATGTCTAGTTTCATTTAGTTAATCTTGAAGACTTAGAAATTGTTCTTATATGTTCTAGCTCGTCAAGCAGTAAAAACACCCCCTCGGAGGTTACCCACTGTGATGGTTCGATCTCCTATAGATTCTGCCTCCCCAGGAAGTGATTATCCACTTGGGGACTTGACTGCAACCACTATGGAAGAGGCCACCTCTGGCGTGAGTATATTTCCATATACAGGAATTAATCAGCAAAGGGGCAATAAGCCAGCAGAGAGCTGAGTGATGAGGAAATCACTTTTGGCCTGGAGGCAACTTCCTCTCTTGGTCTGAATGTCAAAGACTTACTTTACCTTGTTCTGTGCTCTAAGATAAGGATGGACCTAAAAACATTGAGGCTTTGACCTTTTGAGAGATAGGTAAAAGACTATATCAAGGAATTGTTTGTAAGTGTATTAGTCCTATGAAATTCCTGCTGAAATAAGGAACAGTTGTTTTTAATATATAATATTGGTAGTGGGTAAGGAGTTTGTATAAAAGGTAGGTTGGGTGGAGTGATTGGGTCATTGTGGGTTTGAGTAGGTGTAAAAGAAACAATTGTGGGGAAGAAAGTTGTGGCTGAGAGCAGGAGGGTAGGGGGTTTCTGGGCAGTTCCACTCAGGACTAAAACAATAATAGTTAGACACACTAACCCACCCAGATTAATAGGGAACCTTTCAGAGTTTGAGAAGTCAGATAAAGGTTCTCTGTTGTCTCTTAGGTAACCCCTGGGACTTTGCCGAGTACCCCAGTCACCTCGTTTCCTGGGATTCCTGACACCCTTCCTCCAGGCTCTGCACCCTTAGAAGCCCCCATGACCCCAGTAACAGATGATTCACCCCAGAAAAAGATGCTTGGACAGAAAGCAACTCCACCCCCCTCCCCTCTGCTGTCAGAGCTCTTGAAGAAGGGCAGCCTCCTGCCTACTAGCCCCAGACTGGTATGGAGACTTCTGTGGGTGTTTGAGAGCTGTGGTGATTTAATATTTTGGAAGGGAGTGCCTGGGACCTAAAATATGACATGGAAAAAAAGATTTAAAAGAGAAAGAGATCTCCTAGTTAAATGTTAATTAATTAAAAAAACAAACAAAAAATCCAACACAGTAAGTTGATAGTGCTCTTGGATCCTGAGGTATTTGAAACCATAATTATTTTCGTTCTCTTCTCCAGAGAACTCTTGTTACAAAATTAGAGTTTCCCTTGGGTCTGAAATTACACTCTTTGGATATTAACTTTTATTTTTGTAAAGTTTGGTCAACTGCTGGAGCTTTTTTGGGAAGTGGTAGTAAAGGAAAGCTTGAGTGTAGCCTTCACCTCTATTCTTCCCTGATAGGTCAATGAGAGTGAAATGGCTGTGGCTTCTGCCCACCTGAACAGTACAGGTGTCCTCCTGGAGGTAGGCGGGGTCCTTCCCATGATACATGGTGGGGATTTGCAGCAAACACCCAACACTGTTGCAGCCTCCCCTGCTGCTTCAGGTAAGTCATCACTTTTCCATATTTACTTTACTTTAGAGATATAGAACTTGGCATTGATAGTCCTTGGTTTCTAGTCTTTGTTACTAAGCAATTGTTAATCCTAGATTTAAAGCCAGTCTTGGAACTATTTACCTGTTAAATCCTGTAGTGTCCCAGATTTTAAATCTCATTTTCAAAATATTGATAGCCCTGGATGATCATAGCATAGATATTAATGAGAGGAATAGAGAAGTTAATAGTGAAGCTGCTCCTCTGAGGCTTGCAAATTAAGATACCTGAGTTTATAGAGGATTGAGATTTGGATTCAGGGACCTGGACTTGAGTCTCAGGCCTACCACACTCTGATTTTGTGACCTTGGCCAAGTAACTTAACTCTTGAGCCTCAGTTTTCTCTTTTATTAATTGCAATGTTTGTACTTCACAAAAATGTAGAGAGAATTAAATGAGGTAGAAAATGTAAGGCAAAAAAAAGCCCTTTGCAAAATACCAAACAAACATTAGATATTGGCATTTGATTTTGGGTGGTTTATGGCACACTTAACTTTAGCAGAAGTGACATTTATTCACACCAGTTTTTTGTTATGTTTAATTTTTTTCTGAGGAAAAATTACTACCCAGTTTTCATATACATTGTGTGTTCTAGTGCTTTGGGTCATTCCTATCTTGGTTTAAGATATTAAGTAAAGTTAGAGAAAGTAAAGATATAGTTAATGAGTTTGTTCAACAGGAATTGCTTTCATCCTTTGAGATTAAAAATTTTCTTGGTTGTGTCTTAAAGTGGCTATTGCTTCTTATTCATGTGCTTCTTTCTTACCTCATTTTGTGTACCTCTTTGTCTGTTAGGTGCTCCCACTCTTTCCCGGCTTTTAGAAGCTGGTCCTACACAGTTCACCACACCTCTTGCTTCCTTCACTACTGTTGCCAGTGAGCCTCCAGTTAAACTTGTGCCACCCCCTGTAGAGTCTGTGTCCCAGGCTACCATTGTCATGATGCCTGCGCTACCAGCACCATCCTCTGCTCCGGCTGTCTCCACTCCTGAGAGTGTAGCTCCAGGTGCGTCCCTGACCCACGCCCTGAGCAGCCGCTAGGTCCAAAATTTCAGTTAGAGAAAAGTGATCAAGAGCATCAGCTCTAATTCACATGCCTCTGTTCTGTTCCCCATGGACATTTGCCATCTTTATCCTTAAGAAAAACAAGAATGTGAGAAGAGGTGGGTGGGCTTTTATGTGTTGGGGGAAAGGCCAAATGTACACATAAGAGTGGGCTTGAGAATATTTTCTCACTAAAACTGGGAGAAGAAAACATAGGCAGATATAAGAACTTTTTCTGAGCTTTAGTGTATGGGTACTTGACATCTGTCTACATCCTTGATGTGATCTCCATGTGGTCGCTTAGTTCTAAATAAGCTTCTGAGATGCTTTTCTCTTCCTGTTATTCAGTGAGTCAGCCTGACACTTGTGTTCCCATGGAGGCTGTGGGGGATCCACATACTGTGACTGTTTCCATGGATAGCAGTGAAATCTCCATGATTATCAATTCTATCAAAGAAGAGTGTTTCCGATCAGGGGTAGCAGAGGCTTCTGGAGGATCAAAGGCTCCCAGCATAGATGGGAAGGAAGATTTAGATCTGGCTGAGAAGATGGATATTGCTGTGTCTTACACTGGTGAAGAGCTTGACTTTGAGACCGTTGGAGACATCATTGCTATCATTGAGGACAAGGTAACTATTCAGCAACACCCAAAAGAATCTCTCATGGGTCCTACATAGGCTTCTCTCCTCAGCCTCTCCTTGCTTCTCATAGTAACAATTACATAAACAATTTTCCTGCTCTGTCCATCTCCATCTCTGTAGTCCCAAAGCCCTTTGGTGCCGACGTACTAGTTATCTCCCAGCCATCCTTATGTTACTGGTTTGCACAGGACAGATGCCTGTCCATTGATTGCTTCTACTACATGGAGAAAATGGAGAGAGAAGCTGCAGATTCAGGCCATCTCATTCGGTGCTAACAGAATTGAGGTAATTGAGCTTCTGCGACTTCAGCAGTGTATGTTTTATGGGACAGGTAGATGATCATCCTGAAGTGCTGGATGTGGCAGCAGTGGAAGCAGCATTGTCGTTCTGTGAAGATAATGATGATCCTCGGTCTCTGCCTGGCCCCTGGGAGCACCCTATGCAGCAGGAACGGGACAAGCCAGTACCTCTTTCTGCACCAGAATTGACAGTCAAGCAAGAGAGGCTGGACTTTGAGGAATCGGAAAACAAAGGAATCCACGAACTGGTAGACATCAGAGAACCTGGTGTTGAGATCAAAATGGAACCTACAGAACCAGAGCAAGGCATTTCAGGGGCTGAAATAGTCACTGGGGTCGCTCCAGCCACATGTATAGAGCCACCAGAACTCAGGAATCAGGACTTAGATGAGGAACCCAGAAGTACTGCAGCTGGAGAGATTGCTGAAGTAGATGTTGCCAGTGGGAAAGGCGATGAGACTCCAGTTACAACTGTGAAGACAGAGGTATTTACAATAAGGGTCTGGGAGGATGAAGGGTTATACCTTAGGTAAGAAGTGAAAGTTTAGGCCTCTGGTTTTTTGTTGCATTCCTGAGTTTTGACATGTTTGATGTGTCTAAAGTGTATGGGTGTGATGAGTGCTATACATATATATACTTAACCTATATCTGTTAAAGAATATAATAGAATCTTGCTGAGACCGGTTTGGCTCAGTGGATAGAGCGTCGGCCTGCGGACTGAAGGGTCCCAGGTTCGATTCCGGTCAAGGGCATGTACCTTGGTTGCGGGCACATCCCCAGTGGGGAGTGTGCAGGAGGCAGCTGGTCGATGTTTCTCTCTCATCGATGTTTCTAACTCTCTATCTCTCTCCTTTCCTCTCTGTAAAAACTCAATAAAATATAAAAAAAAAAAAAAAAAAAAAAAAAAGAAGAAGAAGAAAAAAAAAAAAAAGAATATAATAGAATCTAATTACATGGATAGGACTTGGAATTACTTATATAGTCACATTATCATTGAAGAATAAAATTGTGTAAGCTGTAGTGATTTACCAGTACTTAGGGTGTTTGTTCTTTTTGGTCTTTAGGCATCCCCTGAAAGCATGCTATCTCCATCACATGGCTCAAATCCCATGGAAGATCCTTTAGAGGCAGAAACTCAGCACAAATTTGAAATGTCAGGTAAATAATAAGGCTAGGAAATCTGTATTCTGTAACTAACTTGGAATCATTTGCTTTGGCTTCTGAAGGATTGTGGGTTGTGGGCAAGTAGAGGAGATAGAATAGGTCAGCATGCAAAGGAGAGCTGCAGGAAGGGGAAATCTAAGGTGGAAAACTTCAGGTAGTCTTTCTCTCCTCTGCAGACTCATTGAAAGAAGAATCAGGGACTATTTTTGGAAGCCAGATAAAGGTATTTCAGACTTTTCCTTATTCCTCTTGGGGTGTGACTAGATTTCCCTATAGCACTACCTTTTTAACGAATTTCAGTAAACTCCCATCCTTATTCTCTGAGATGAGACTGGTTTAGAAGTTGCATGGGGAAGAGCTGCAGTGGACAGTTAGGTGTAGTGGGAATATTATGGCAACGTGTGCTTCCCATCTGAAAATTTGTGAATATCATACAGACCTTTCTTTGCATATAATGCACAAAGAAGCTTTGATATATTCAGAGATATATCAAATGAATAGGGATACTAGAGACAGGGAGAACATATAAGAAATTAGATTATTAGTTACACTATTCAGAGGAAATCATCCTAAGTTTTCTTTTTAGAATTACTAAAGTAGTAGTAACAAATAGATTCAAAGCGATGTGAGCTTGCTCCATCAGATAAGACACAAAATAAAAGCTATTTTTGATAACTTTGTACCCAGGGTCAGAGTTCCTCTCAAGAGCAAGGGGAAAGAAGGAACGCCTCTTAGCTTAGTCTTAAGTAAGTAGCTTTTTTTGTTTCTTCCTTTTAAAAAGATCCTGGCTTTGTCCAGGTTCTAAATTACTTGATCACTCAGTGTCTGTAAGTGGATGGTAGGATAAGCGGTAGAGGGCTCAGTCAGGAAACAATGTGAGGTCATTTTCTAGAACTGATCTAACCCAAAAGGCAGATTATGTTTAATGACGCTTTGCATAATGACTTTGCTTGCATTTGCTGACTGGAGCACACTGTGTCTAAGGATGCCCCAGGTGAGGATGAGGAGGAAGATGGAGTCAGTGAAGCAGCCAGTCTAGAGGAGCCTAAGGAAGAAGATCAAGGAGAAGGCTATTTGTCAGAAATGGATAACGAACCCCCTGTGAGCGAGAGTGATGATGGCTTTAGTATACACAATGCTACTCTGCAGTCCCACACACTGGCAGACTCCATCCCCAGCAGTCCTGCTTCTTCTCAGTTGTGAGTATCTAAGAGTCTTCCTTTGAGGTCAAGGCAGTGAAGGTGAGAAGTAGGAGAGGATCTTTTCTTTAATCTTACTTTTTCATCTTCCCTTTCTTGGCCTGGAACAAATACAGGCATACCTCGGAGATACTGCGGTTTTGGTTCCAGACCAGCACAATAAACTGAGTATCACAATAAAGCGAGTCATAATCTTTTTGCTGGTGGAGGGTTTTGCCTTCAATTTGTAAAAAATGTAACATCTGTGAAGCTCAGTAAAGCAAAGCGCAATAAAATAAGGTATGCCTGTAGTTGACAAGAAATAATTAGGACTTTTTTTTTAAACTTATGCCTAGTGGAACTTCTGTATTTTTTTATTTTTATTTTAGCTCTGTCTGTAGTGAGGATCAGGAAGCTATTCAAGCACAAAAAATCTGGAAGAAAGCCATCATGCTTGTATGGAGAGCTGCAGCTAATCATAGGTGAGTAGGGACTTTACCAGTTAGTAGGAACATTTTCTCCTCATTGTTGGTGACTAGAAAAAAATTTGAGTAGGCTTATTTGGGGCTGGAAGCATTGGCTTTTAACAACTTTCAGCCACTTTGGTCAAGTTCTCTCACCTCTGCTTCTGGAGGATAAGCCAGTAATTGCATCTTACTCTCTTTGGACAGATATGCCAATGTATTTCTGCAGCCTGTTACAGATGACATAGCACCTGGCTACCACAGCATTGTGCAGAGGTAAGCCATAATCAGTTCAGCATGCCAACTTCCCTGGATTATACGTTGTCCAGTCTTAGTGGATTTTTGCTTTAGACAATAAGTTTAAAGCAAATGTTTTTGATGTGAGTAAAGATGACCAATTGCTAAACTGATTATTTCAGCAGCTGGGTCACTAATGATAGTCTAAAAGAATTAACCCCTTTTATTTCCTTTCTCAATACTTGTTATACAGGCTGACTTTGGTTTTTGGGTTCAGTGCATGTTTCATGGTGAGGGTTTAGTGTTCAAGTCCTGGCAGCTGGGATTAGCAGGATGTGTGAGAAGATCTATATGGTAATAATATATTCAGGGATCCAGTTGAGTCCTCTTCCCCTCTCCTAGATTTACCTGTTGTTCTTTTTCAGGCCAATGGATCTGTCAACTATTAAGAAAAACATTGAAAATGGACTGATCCGCAGCACAGCTGAATTTCAGCGTGACATTATGTTGATGTTCCAGAATGCTGTAATGTATAATAGCTCGGATCATGATGTCTATCACATGGCAGTAGAAATGCAGCGAGATGTTTTGGAGCAGATCCAGGTACTTTGAGGATCCTCAGTTTTTTAGCATGGATGAAATGATAATACTCAAGGGAATGATTCACATTGATGTCAGGAAAGGGGTGGCTTTTACTTGGAATAGCCATCAGGCAGAAACACAGGAACATGAAATTTTATTCTTGTTGGATTCATGTTAGGTTTTTAAAAAATACATATTTTTATTTTCAGAGTGGAAAGGAGAGGGAGAGATAGATAGATAGATAGATAGAAACATCAGTGATGAGAGAGAATCATTGATCAGCTGCTTCCTGCACGCCCCACACTGGGGATCGAGTCCACAACCTTAGGCATATGTCCTGAACAGGAATCAAACTGTGACCTCCTAGTTCATAGGTTGATGTTCAACCACTGAGCCATGTCTGCCGTGCTCATGTTAGTTTTTTCATGTTGGTTTGGTAAATGAGTTGTGAGAGAATAGTCTTATCTTTCTTAGGCAAATTTCCTGAAATTTTAAAATAAAATTCTTATAAAATGATGAGTGTATATTTTGTATTACATTAAGTATAAGTATAGTAGACAGTCAATAAATAGTTCATTCTTTCTCATCACAGATAACTTATTTCTAATCTATAATTGCATTGCCAGGCACCCTTTGGAATATTGAACTTGAAGGGATGTGGTCTATCTCTGCAGAGTCTGCCAAATTACTTAAATTACTTGGTGATCTTTGGTTCATCTAGTTTTATTTGTGATCCTATGTTATAGCAAAAAAAAAAGAAAAAGTTAGAGCCATTTGGCATTTTTAGATTCTTGAAAATGTACAACAAAAATTAAAAGTGATCTAAATTTCTAGAAGTATTTGAATGCTGATTGCAAAAGGGTACTATATGAAGTTCTATTTACAAAGCCTAAGGTGTCTTTAATTCTTCCCTACTGGATCTGGTCTCTAGGGCCAACTGTGTTTCTTCTCCCTACAGCAATTCCTGGCCACACAGTTGATTATGCAAACATCTGAGTCTGGGATCAGTGCTAAAAGTCTTCGAGGAAGAGATTCTACCCGCAAACAGGATGCTTCAGAGAAGGTGAGGAGACCAAGAAAGAGCCTTTTTGCCATTGTTCCAGTGCTAGAAGTCTGAAGCATCAAAAGAACTTTGTTACGGCTTGGTATTGTTGGGCTTCTATATTCCAATGGTATACGTACTAGGTGTACCAGTTAATAATGCGGATTTTTTTCCATAGCTGGAGTTACACATATGTTGATATTTATGCTGTTTTGTTGTATTGGCAGCAAGCTTCAGAACGTCATATGTCAAATTTGCTGAAGGTGTTAACATCATTGATATTTTTACACTTAAAAATGTTGAATTTCATGCCAAAAAAAGAGCATTTGCGGGAAGTTTTAATTCATTACTTTATTTTGAAGAAAAGTGCTGCTGAAAGTTATTGTATACTTCAGGAAGCTTATGGTGAACATGATCCATCTCAAGATACTTGTGAACGCTGGTTTAAACGCTTTAAAAGGGATGATTTTGATGTGAAAGACAAAGAACGTCCAGGTTAACCAAAAAAGTTTGAAGACTAACAATTACAAGCATTATTGGATGAAGATGCGTGTCAAACTCAAAAACAACTTACAGACAGATTAAATGTTGCTCAGCAAACAATTGCCAATCGTTTACAAGCAATGGGAAAGATTTTAAAGGAAGGAAAATGGGTACCACGTCAATTGAACGAAAGACAAATGGAAAACTGAAAAGTCATCAGTAAAATGTTGCTTCAGCGGCATGAAAGAAAGTCTTTTTTGCATCGAATTGTGACTGGCGATGAAAAGTGGATTTATTTTGAGAATCCCAAGTGCACAAAATCATGGGTTGATCCAGGTCAACCATCAACATCGACTGCAAGTCCAGATCACTTCGGAAAGACGACAATGCTCTGCGTTTGGTGGGATCAGGAAGGTGTGGTGTATTATGAGCTTTTAAAACCAGGTGAAACCGTTAATACTGATCGCTACCAACAACAAATAATCAATTTGAACCATGCTTTGATTGTGAAACGACCAGAATGTGCCAGAAGACACGGCAAAGTAATTTTGCTTCATGATAACGCACCATCACACACTTCAAAACCAGTTAAAGACACGTTAAAAGATCTTGCCTGGGAAGTATTAACCCACCCGCCGTCTTCACCAGACTTTGCTCCTTCACATTATCACTTGTTCTGATCAATGGCGCATGCACTTTCTGAGCAGCACTTCAAAACGTATGAAGAAGTGGAAAATTGGGTCTCTGAACGGTTTGCCTCAAAACAAGAAAAGTTTTATTGGGACGGTATCCACAAATTACCTGAAAGATGGGGGACATGTGTAGCTAGTGATGGACATTACTTTGAATAAAGCACTTTTAAAAAATATATCTTTATTGATTTCAGAGAGGAAGGGAGAGGTGGAGAGAGAGAAATATCAATGATGAGAGAGAATCATTGATGGGCTGCCCCCTGCACGTCCCCCACTGGGGATCAAACCTGCAAACTGGGCATGTGCCCTTGGCCAGAATCGAACCCAGGACCCTTCAGTCCACAGGCCCATGCTCTATCCACCGAGCCAAACCAGCAAGGGCTGAATAAAGCACTTTTGATCTTTCTCTTGAAATTACTGTGTTTTCTTTGATTACAAAATCTGCATTATTAACCGGTACACCTAGTACAGATTTTAGAATGTTGGTCATTTGCTTCCATCCAAACAGAAGAAACCTGTGACTGGAAGGCTGGCCCAGTCACATGGGAGAAATTGTGAGCTGAGTGAGCAAATTACTAATTCTTCTAAGAGTGCTCGCAATGTGGAGTAAATGACTTGGCTTATAATAAGTTCCAGAAGCATAATGGCCAGATTGCTTTTGGATCTCTTTCCTCTTGTTCTTGAGTTTTTAAGTTTTGTCTGTGTGTGTGTGGTGCTTGTGTCTCTGTCCTGAGGTTTGGGGTGCTTATGGCTGAGAGTTTCTGTGGAACCTGATCAGTGTTTGTTTGTCCTCTAACAGGACAGTGTCCCCATGGGCTCTCCTGCCTTCCTTCTCTCTCTCTTTGTAAGTATTGAATGGCTGCAAGGGGTGGTGTTGCCACAAAGATTCTCTGCTCCCGCTGGGGGTGGGTGGCAGAGGGAAAGCCAACATGCAGACTGTAGCAATGTGTTGAACTTCTGTTTATTCAGGTCATTGAATAAGAATCTGTCTCTTCTGCATTCCTGTCTTTCTGCATGTGTGTGTGTGGGGGCTGGATAGGGACTTTTTATGAGTTCACTGGGCTGGAATGAGGTATTGGTAAGGATCTAAAATGTACCGCTCCTCATTTCCTGACTCCACCTTTTGCCAATTCTTTTCTTACAAATAGAAAATTATTCAGAGCAGCAGTTGCTAGCTGGCTTTTGAAAAGTGTTCCTCATACTAGATACTCAACACACAGTTTTTATATTTTCCCCTAATATTAAGTTGCAAGACTGATGTCTGATATATAAACATTCAGTAAAATATAAGATAAACATCTCGGTAACAATGACCACTGCAGAGAATAGTGGCTGGTGCAAATAGTGATAAGCTTAGCAAAGCTAGCCTAAAGACTTTTATTCCTTTCTCCATGAATTGGAGACCCTCTGACTGTTACTCGTTTTGGGGCGCTGAGACATGATATAATGGAAAGGGCATTAGGCTAGATAGAAAAACCACATGATCTTAAATTGACTGGATTATTTCTTGGAGCCTTGTTTTCCTCATCTGTCTGCTGGAGCTAATATATGATGTACCTGTCCAGCCTACCTCACAGGGATGTTGTGAGGATAAAATGAGATAAGAGGTATGGAACTGGCTTGAAAAAAATTAAAGTGTTATACAAATACAAGATGGTATTTTTATTTTTACTGTTGCTTCAAAGGCAACTTGTGTTGGTGAGCTCTAAATATTGAGTCCTTTAATGTTAGAAATGTTAAAATGGCCTGGCCAAGCAAAAGTGTTCGTTCATCTTGCCTACAGGCCTCAGCCTGTACCACAGACAGAACACTATAATCTCCGTTCTTTTTTATTGGCCTGCAACAGTGACTGGATCCCCAAGCAATTGGCTGGCTGTTACAAGGCTGGTTAATAGGATCTTTTATCTATGGAAGACAGCAATGTATTGCACAAGAGGAAGGATCTGGGCTGCAGGGAGAGAGCAGCAGATGGAAAGAAGCCTTCTGATTGTCCTGATCTCATGGAAAACAACTGTCAGGAGGTGCTAGGGAACTAGTGCCAGGGTCAGTCTGCAGGAAAGGCCTTTCTTTAGGGACCAACAAACAGCTGGACAGGTATGTTAGCTAAGAATCTCACTATCCACTGCCCTTTCTGACTCCCACCTTTTATTCTTTCTGTTCCTTTGCACATAATTTGGGGGCTGCGGAGGGGTGACAAATAGTCATTTTGTGGGCCCCAGATGAACTCCAGCAATCTCTGGTGGGCAGGAGCAAGATACTCTGTACTATATATTCTCTTCCAAACTACTACTAGGTGATTTTTACCACACACTATGGGAAGACCTATATCCCCCTCATTTCCTGGATTTTTCTGCTGATTCCCCTCTCCCCTAAGAAATCAAATCCCCAGCATTCTTGTTCTCTTATTTTTTAACCAACTCATTCATGCTCCCTTTCTTTGTCTGCCTGTCATTTAGGATGGTGGCACCAGGGGGCGCCGCTGTGCCATTGAAGCAGATATGAAGATGAAAAAATGAAATCTCAGAGTACCCTCATTGAGCTGAACCCGAAAAAGAAATAAACAAGTTAAAGTTTGGGCTTGTGGGCCCAGTTCCAGAATTGGGAGTTAACAGAAGAGGAGGCTCCTGGGCCATGTGACATGATCTGGGAAAATCTCAGAGTTGGAGTAGCATAATTGCCTGTTTTAGGGCAAAAATCATGGGCTGTGTTAATGTCCTAATGTGTATGTAACTAACAGATTGTAGCTAATTTGTACTGTCTTGTGAAGTGTACAGACTTAAAAAAAAATCTGTGAAGTGTTTGTGTTCACAATAAACTCTGAAAGAAAACTCGTCTGGTGTGTTCTGTGTGTGTGTATGAAACCTGTGATTTCTTCTGCGTGATAACTGTTTTATCATTTTTTAGAGAGGGAAAGTGGTCTTATAAAATGAATTATTCTGTTACAACTCAGAGAAGGTAAATAACCAAGATTTAACTTGTAATTAATGTTTTAAAGCAGCGGTCGCCAATCGCACCTCACGGACCACCAGTGGTCTGGTGACCACTGCTCCAGAGGTTTCTTAAATCAGCAGTCGCCAACCTTTTGGACCTCGCGGACCATTGGTTGGCGACCGCTGTTTTAAAGTGTTGCGTTGTGCAGTAAGGACTCTTATTCAGCTTTTCTTGAATATTTGGAAAAACTTAAAGGTTTTAAAAGTTTTGTTCATGTCATTGCCCTAGATTTGAGCATAGATATATCGGTAGTGCTGATCTTTATTTCATTTATTTATACGTAATATTATGCAGATGGTATTTCTAGGATAGTATATTACTGTTTCCTTATCAATTTCTATGTGTGGAGCTCTTATGTGTTTCAGGATTCATAACATTGCTATTTGAAGACTAAACTGATTTTGAGTTATCAAATTTATCACTTGAGTTTATCCTAACTTCTCTTACTACATAAGAATTAACTCCATGGAAACTAGTTATGAGCCTTTTATTATAAAGAGATGGAGATTAATAGGGTATTGCCTCGTACTTTGAGCCTTCTTGAGAAAGATGGGTTTAAGAAAGATGATTAGGCCCTAGCCAGTTTGGCTCAGTGGATAGAGCATCAGCCCAAGGACTGAAGGGTCCCAGGTTCATTCCAGTCAAGGGCATGTACCTTGGTTGCAGGCTTGATTCCTTGCCCCAGTCAAAGCTTGTGCTGGAGGCAACCAATTGATGTGTTTCTCTCACTTCCATGTTTCTCTCTATCCCCCTCCCTTCCACTCTTTCTAAAAGTCATGGAGGATTAACAACAAAAAGATGATTAGAAGTCAAATCATATATATATGTATGTATATATATGTATATATATATATATATATATATATACACATACATATATATATATATATATATATATATTTTTTTTTTTTTACTAATTTCAAAGAGGAAGGGAAGGAGAAGCATCAATGAGAGAATCATTGATCGGCTGCCTCCTGCACGCCCCACACTGGGGATCAAGCCTACAGCCTAGGCATGTGCCCTGACTGGGAATCAAACCATGATCTTCTGGTTCATAGGTTGCCGCTCAACCACTGAGGCATGCTGGCCAGGCAAGATCTTTTTGGTTTAAATACTTTTTAAAGTTTGTTAGGATGCTAACAAGCTAAAACAATACAGTCTTTTTGAAGTGATGGAAAGGAGTTTAATGAGCCCAGGAAAATAACTGCAGTATACCCCCAAAGCAGTGCACAAATAGGCATGTAAATAAGTAGTGAAGCCTTAAAAGTTGGAAAAGTATGGACAAGGAGAACCATTAAAGGGACAAAGATTTTGGGTTGGTAGAGAAAGTGATGAATGAGTTTAGCAATCCTGGTTAAAGGTGTAGTATCTATGGTGGGGGCAATAGGGAGACGTAATTAGAACAGGGATCACCTAAGGAATAACGAAGTATAAATACCAGACCAAGGAAGCAAAGTAGGGTTTGATTTACGGAGTACTTTGAGTGGCAGATTGATAAATTTATATTGAGGGAATGGCTGTTGTAAAGCCTTGCACAGGAAGAGTTGAGAGCAGATTGGATTAAAGAGAAATTGACACCCTAACCGGTTTGGCTAAGTGGATAGAGTGTTGGCTTGCGACTGAAAGGTCCCAGGTTCAGTTCCAGTCAAGGGCATGTACCTTGGTTGCGGGCACATCCCCAGTAGGAGGTGTGCAGGAAGCAGCTGTTCGATGTTTCTCATCGATGTTTCTAACTATATCTTCCTCTCTGTAAAAAACCAATAAATATTGTACATATTTTTAAAAAAAGAAATTGACCAGGGGGGAGGGGGGTTATAGCATTTATTGAGGAACAAAGAATGGGTATTGAGAAAAATGGTGGAAGAAAACTGGGAAGTGGACTTGCTTACCAAATGCAGGAGATGAGTTAAAACAGGATCAAGAAATAGTGTTGATGGGGATAAGGAAATTGGAGAGAGCAAATGATTTTGGAGATAATCAGGAAGAGAAGTGATCTTAGTTTTTGAAATGTTGAGTTGAAGCAGATGGTAGAGCACCAAAAGGGAATTGACCTTTGGGTACAGGGAGAAATGAGACCAGAATGCATATCCGTTAAAGACAGATTTTGGGAGCCACCTGAAAAGATATCAAAATTGAAACCTCAAAGTATATACATTTTTAAAAGTATGTATCAATGAGGAAGTAAAAGGACTAAGCAAGAACATAGACAAGGATTTATTGAAAGTTTTAAAGGGAGAGAACAAAGGGGTAAGAAAATCAGGATAGAGTAATGAAAGGAAAGGAAGATATTTTTAAAACTTGATGTTGCGCTTTTCATTCTGAGAAGTGAGAATTGGATATAACGGGTAATCTTAAAGTGTGTTTTGAGGATTTAATAGTTCATAGGTTCATACCTATACACTGAGGAAAATATCACTTATCCCTCAAATTTATTGCCTTGCAGTTGATTTTAAGAATGATTTGGGATAGAGGAATTTTTTTCAGCTAACTATGGTCCAGTTCTTTATTTTTTATATATTTTTCAATTACAATTAACAATATTATTTTGTATTAGTTTCAGGTGTACACTACACCATAGTGGTTAGATAATCATATACTTGGCAAAGTGTTCCCCCTGATATTTCTAGTACCCACCTGGCACCATTCATATTTATTGCAATATTGTTGACTATATTTCCTATGCTGTACTTATGCTCTATTTCTTTCTCTTTTGGAGTATAAGGAAGTCCAAGAAAAAAATACTTATGGGGTAATATCTTTATTATACTGTTTGACATGGGACTTTTTCTTTATTCCCAATGACAGATCATTTTGTCTCCTGGTATCTCATTTCAGCTATTTTTTGTTGTTACTAATGAGTAGAAATACATTTCTGTCCCCTTATCTTTCTAATGAACTTGGGAGATGAGATGCAAATGCCTTAGGAATATTGAGTTGAGTGAATTTAATGCAATTTTTTTTTCTATGTATTTACAGATGGGGCGTGAGTGGGTTTGGTTGGATTCTGAACAAGACTATCCCAATGACTCTGAGTTGAGCAACAACTGCAGGTCCCTCTTCAGCTCGTGGGACTCCAGTCTGGATCTTGATGTGGGCAGCTGGAGGGAAACTGAGGAGCCAGGGACTGAGGAATTAGTGGAAAGCAGCCCAGGGACAGAATCTAGTGAGCTGCTTATGGGGGACGGAGGCAGTGAGGAATCTCAGGAAGAGACACAGCAAATCAGCCACCAGAACCTCCTCCACTTTCTCTCTGAGGTAATGGGGAGTCATTATTTCCAAAGTTGGAAGAGTCTTAACGCTAAGAGAATGCTTACTCATATATATTTTTACCATTCTTAATATTATTTACTGAAATATGTGCTCCACAGTGGCAGGGACTAAGTTCATTGCTGTGTCTTCAGCACTTGGTACTAACACAAAATATGCTTCAAATGTGTACTTTTGGGCTGAATATTATAAAATCCAGTTATTGGGACCCTGACAGGAAATGAAATTTCTGTATGCAGGTCTACCCTAGAAGAGTATCCTTGCAATTCATTCTTTCAGTCATGAGATGATTCTTGCCCAAACTCACCTTAAAGCTTATAACGTATGACACTAAGGCAGTAATTTATAGTGTTTTTATTACCCTAGTTAAGGTCCGAGGATCAGAAATAGAATTTGACAGTTTATATTTATGCAGCAACTACACACACATTCAGCAGAATATAGGTCAAGATCAGCAAGAATCCAGTTCAAATGTTGCCATTTCTGTTTTGGCAGACAAAATTTTCAGCAGTTCGGTAGCCAGTCCCAATTGATCAGAGTTGACACTTGAGGTGAAAATGTAGAACATAAGCTCCTTGAGGCAAGAACAGTATCTTGTTTACTGTTAGGTCCTTACCAACTAGTAATAGTGCCTGTGTATCCTTCCTATATAACAAAAGCCTAATATGCTAAGTGTCTGGTTGACTGGTCGGCCGTTCAACGAATCAAAGCATAATATGCTAGTGATATGCTAAGGCCGCTCAACCACTCACTATGACGTGCACTGACCACCAGTGGGCAGACGCTTCAACCAGTAGGTTAGCTTGCTGCTGGGGTCCAGCCAATAGGGACTGAGCAAGATGGGCCGGACACGCCCTGGAGCCCTCCCGCGGTCCCTTCCTGGCTGGCCAACCTCCCATGTCCCTCCCTGGCCCTGATCGTGCACTGGTGGAGGTCCCTTGGCCTGGCCTGCACCCTCTCACAATCTGGGACCCCTCAAGGGATCCCAGAGGTTGTCAGAGAGCCGGTTTTGGCCCGATCCCACAGGCCAGGCTTAGGGACCCCACTGGTGCACAAATTCGTGCACCAGGCGTCCAGTATAAGATATTTAATGAATTTTAAATGATTGGAAAAGTTAATCTATTTGCCATCTCAGGCTTAGACACAGTGGCAGTGTAATCATGTGGCATTATTGATATATAGATTATGATTTCTATTGATGTTTCTAATCTAACGATAGACTATGATTGCAGGTAGCTTATTTAATGGAGCCATTGTGCATTAGCAGCAAAGAATCAAGTGAAGGTTGCTGCCCTTCACCTGATACCAGACAAGAGGAAAGGGAAATTGAAGCTACTGAAGGAGATCAGGAACCCTGCAGAGAGCCTGAAGAGCTTTCAGCTAAGGTAGAACCATTGGTAGCTGAGGAGTCACTGGGAGAAAATGGAAGGCCAGAGATGGCTCCAGCTCCCTCAGATATTTGTGCAGTTTGGGGACTACCAACAGAGAATGAAGAGGTAAGTGAATAACTTAAATCAGCTGTCTAGCTCTCTGCACAGGGAGGCAGAGCAGAGTGGTAGAGCACATAGGTAACTCCAGAGTTCAACTACCTGGGTCCAAATCTTGGTTTTAGCATCAATTAGCTGTGGGACCTTAAGCATGTTAGTGAACATTTAGAACCTCAGTTTTCTCTGCTGTAACTGGAATTACTTATTTCTCTACCTTATATTTTTGCTGTGAGGTTAAATGATAATTCATGGGAAAAACTTCGCATAGGGCCTAGTTCATAGTAAGCAATCAGTAAAATTCACAATTTATAATATCATTAATATTATCTGACCAGTTAGACTAGTTAGCTCCAGGACCACAAAAATAATGAAAATTTTAAAAGGATACAGCATCCGCCCTAGCCAGTTTTCTCAGTGGTTAGAGCATCACCCTGGTGACTGAGCAGTCGCGGGCTTGATTCTGGTCAAGGGCATGTACCTTGGTTGCAGGTTCGATCCCTGGCCCTGATTGGGGCAAATGCAGGAGGCAACCAATCAGTGTCCCTCACATCGATGTTTCCCTCTGTACCTCTCCCTTCCACTCTCTCTAAAAATCAATGGAAAAAATATCCTCAGGTGAGGATTAACTAAATAAATAAATCTATATAAAAGCCTAAGCAACCTTTTGACCGTTCGCTATGATGCACACTGACCACCAGGGGGCAGACGCTCAATGCAGGAGCTGCCCCCTGGTGGTCAGTGCGCTCCCACAGTGGGAGTATCGCTCAGCTGACTGATGGGCGCCAGATGCCAGGCTCACAGCTGGTGAGCGCCTCTGTGGTGCGAGCCTCTCCTGCGGACATTCCCCCTGTGCACCCCTACCCCATCTGGACTAGGACCGTGACCAGGATCAGGACCAACATCAGGACTTATTGGGCGTGAGCCTGCTGCTGCTTCTCGGTCATGGGTGCGCTGGTATTACCCTATGACGGGTGTGCAGAGACCGCAGTGGAAGGGCAGTGAGCCTACTGAGCTGCGAGCGGCGGTGGCAGCCGGGCTCAGGCTCCTCCCCAACCATCTGCTGCTTCTCACACTACTACATCCCTCGGGGAATGTTGGATTGCTGGTTTTGGCCCCATCCCCACAGGCCACGCCAAGGGACCCCACCTGTGCACAAATCCGTGCCCCGGGCCTCTAGTAAATAAATAAAAGGATACAGCATCCATCTAGAATTGAATATATTGCTTTTTTATTTTTTTCTTGGAGTACAGAGTCAAAGTTCTCCAGCAAGATTGTTAACAAGAATTGACTTAGGTCTAGTTAAGTCATATTTCTCTAATTTCTTTTATAGCTTTATATATTTGGCCTCTTCTCACCTTAAGGTCAGCTGTCATTTATTTCATACATGTAAAATTACCTTGCAGAGGCCCTGAACGTGTAGTTCAGTTGATTAGAGCACTAACCCAGTACTCCAAGGTAGTGGGTTCAATCCCTGGTCATGGTACATACAAGAAACAACCAATGAGAAAATAATTAATTTTTAAAAAAAGAAAGAAAGAAACAACAAATGAATGCATAAATAAGTGGAATAATAAATCTCTCAGTAATAAAAATAAATAAATTAAAATGACCTTGCAGATAGTAAATCTTTTTCTAAAGTTTCCATTGTTTCCTGGCACTCCTAGGGAGAGGTTCAGCAAGAATCCAAAGAAGAGGACCAGGGCGAAGGGTATGTGTCAGAGATGGAAGACCGGCCCTCCTCAGGTGAGTGTGATGATGGCTCTAGCATTCAGGAGGCTCCTCTGGTGGATGTCCTTTTCAGCCATTCTACTTCCTCAAATCTGTAAGTATGGATACTTATCCAAGCTTGTTAGGATTTATGCTTTTACTTCTGTTTATGCCTGTTTGAATTGTTAGCATGAATATAGATTACTTTTGCAAAGTAAAAAAAGGAAATTAGAGTTGGAAAACACTAGAAATAGAATTAAATATAATTTTACTGTATAAATATAAGTCTATATGCTTTCCTCTTACAAAACAAGTCTGTTTTGTCAACATTAAGAATCTCTTTCATAAATAACTCTTCTTTCTAATCTTTATTCAGACAATATTGCTAATTCAGATTGCCCCTCATGTCTATTATACAAACTATACTTCTTTTAAAAATACTAAGGCAGGCTCTAACCAGTTAGCTCAGTTCGTTAGAGCATTTCCTGATACACCAGGTTATAGGTTCAATCCTTGGTCAGGGCACATATAAGAATTAACCAATGAATCCATAAATATGTGAAACAACAAATCGATGTCTTTCTTGCTCTCGCTCCCTCTCTCCCTCTCTCCCCCCTTCCTCTCTCTCTAAAATCAATCAACAAATTAATTAATTAAAAAAATACTAAGACAGCTCCTATTAACTTGAAATGAAAAATTATTTTGAAGTTATGATCTCTCTGTTCCTTTTTCACAAATCTTAGGAAATTGTTTATATGCTTGTCTCATCTTTTTATAAGTAATTATGGGGTCAAAGGTTACATTTTAGAATTTTTTTCTTTTTAGTAAACTGAAGTTTTTTCTAAATCAGAAAACAAAGTTATTTTTGTTATGACAATAAATAATTCCTTTTCTGGGCCTGATCTTTTGTCCATTGAGAGAAGATAGCATGAACAGTTTTGTTTTCACTATATTCCTGATCCACCCACATATCTGTGGAAAGGCAAACCAATAATTATTTTAGCCTTTTTAAATTTAAGGCATACAACTGAACCATGTATATATATTTTTTAAATAGCAGATTTCAAATTTTTGTTACACAAATAGAATACAGCTTAAAAACTAGATTATTGAAGAATTGCTTCTTTTGCTTTTCTCTAACTGTGTATGAGAAGATGGCATGTGATAACTATCTAAAAAACAGGAAATCTCTAATCTGGGATGAATTATTTCAAGATATTTCAGTGTCTTGAATGGCAATAGATATTAGTAATTGAGTTTGCTTGGTCAGATAGTTTAAGGAGAACTAGAAAGCTGAGTTCTTGTGCTGTCATTGGGAAGGTTAAAACTACTTGGAGGGATAGACATTCTCCAGGCCCCTCTTTTCTGTCTTTACCCTTAGTCTGTACTGACTCTCGAGAGTAGAGAGAAGTAGAGCCTTTGGAGCATCACTCCCAGTCTGCAGCTCCTTTCCACTCCCACACTTTTTATTATTATTAAAGTAATTAATTAATTAATTTTAATTTCTCTAGATTCCTTATTTTTTATTCTTATTGATTTCAGAGAGGAAAGTAGAGGGGGATAGAGATAGAAACATCAGTGATGAGAGAGAATCATCGACTGGCTGCCTCCTGCAGGCCCCATACTGGGGATCGAGCCCGCAACCCAAGCATGTGCCTTTGACAGGAATCGAACCCAGGACTCTTCAGTCCCCAGGCCGATGCTCTGAGCCAAACCAGCTAGGGCTCCACTCCCACACTTTTACTTGTAGTTGCTTGCCATGCATTTCTAAATAGGTGGAAATAAAGATAAGCAACAGGTTGTTTCTTAAAATATTGCAAAGGCGATTGATTATGAGGTTACATAACCTAGTGCAGTACCTTTCATATAATGGAAACGTATTAAATACCTGTTGCATAGATGTGTGAATAAATTGCACCAGCACCAAATTGGAGAAAGATAAAATGAGATGTGAGTTGTTCTCAAATGGATGCACACTATAAGATACATAAAGCAAAATGAGGGTATGAAGACTTAGCTGTGAAGAGAACTCATTTATAGAAAATAATAGGGTGGATAATGTTTAACTTTCGGAGTAAATAGAAAACTTGCCAACTTGGAAAATTATAAAAATAAATAGACCTGACTGGGTAGTTCAATTGGTTAGAGCGTTGTCCTCCCTATATGCCAAGGTTGTGGCTTTAATCCCTGGTGAGGGCACATGCAAGAGGCAACCAATAATGCATGAAGAAGTGGAAAAACGGATAAATGTTTCTCTCTCCCTCTCTTAAAAAAGAAAAAGAAAGCATTGAACAGTTTCATCTCTGAAGAAAAACTAAATAGATAGTTTAACTCAGAGAAGGAATGGCCATGAGAATAAATGAAATTTTCTTAGGTATTTTAAGAGTTACTATATAGAGGAGAGCGAAAAGGAAAAATACTTAAATTGTGTAGCAATCAGACAAAATGTGAGAATTCTTTGGGATGTGAAACCAAGTATTTATTTCTGTGGAGACATAGTTATCAATGTGTCATATTTTTACATAAAAACAGGACTAGATTCATTTATCAGATACTTAATTGAGCACCTACTATGTGCCAGGCACTTGGGAAATATCAGTGAAAAAAGACTACTTTCATAGACCAGTATTTTAGAGTCACAGGTGTTAATGAGCAAATCAGCAAAGAGACCTGCTGGAGGCAATTATAGATTTGTAATATACTTTATAAAATGATAACTACTTCATTGAGTAATAGTGATTAGTAAGAGAATATTTATAGCCGAAACCGGTTTGGCTCCGTGGTTAGAGCGTCGGCCTGCGGACTGAAAGGTCCCAGGTTCGATTCCGGTCAAGGGCATGTACCTGGGTTGCGGGCACATCCCCAGTGGGGAGTGTGCAGGAGGCAGCTGGTCGATGTTTCTCTCTCATCGATGTTTCTAACTCTCTATTTCTCTCCTTTCCTCTCTGTAAAAACTCAATAAAATACATTTAAAAAAAAAAAAAAAAAAAAAAAGAGAATATTTATAGAATTTGGGGTCCCTTATGGAAGCATTATTTTTTTATTCTTATAGTGTTATTAAGTAGGAACACTGTCTTGAGAAAACCTCATTACTCCCTAGGAGAGACAGAATGCCATTTTTAAAGTTATTGTTTCTTTTCTGTCATTTTTTATCCCATAGGTCTGATCTAAGCCAGAGTGATCCTGTTCAGGATCACTTACTATTTAAGAAGACTCTCCTGCCAGTATGGAAGATGATTGCCAGTCACAGGTAGGTCTCCAAACCACTGTTGGTGTTCATAGCGATTTTTCTCATTTAGAGTGACTTTCCACAGTTTCTTCATCCTTTCTGGATTTGTCCCCTAACAGGTTCAGCAGTCCATTTCTGAAGCCAGTGTCAGAAAGGCAGGCCCCAGGATACAAGGATGTGGTGAAAAGGTCAGTGGAAAAGGGGGCAAGAAAGGTTGGTTGCTTTTATGTCTGTCTTTTCTTACATTATTTTCCATCTATTAGATTATTTATTTCATTTATATTACTTACAAACTTAAGATAAACTTTATAACTGAACAAGTTTGTAAAGTTATGGTGAGCTCAGTCTTTTTTTTTTTTTTAATATATTTTATTGATATTTTACAGAGAAGAAGGGAGAGGGATAGAGAGTTAGAAACATTGATGAGAGAGATCAATTAGCTGCCTCCTGCACGCCCCCCACTGGGGATGTGCTCGCAACCAAGGTACATGCCCTTGACCCTTCAGTCCGCAGGCCGACGCTCTATCCACTGAGCCAAACCAGTTCGGCAGTGAGCTCAGTCTTTATTTGAGAAGGAATGAAGGGGAACAAAAAGATAAAATAGGCTTATTTTAATTGTTAAATTTTAGGTAATATGATTCATTTATTATGATCTTACATTTGCCTTCAGTAGTTTTGTTTGTTGTTTTAAATATATTTTTTTATTGATTTCAGAGAGGGAAGGAGAGGGAAAGAGATAGAAACATCAATGATGACAGAGAATCATTGACTGGCTGCCTCCTGCATGCTCCTTACTTGGAATCGAGCCTGCAACCCGAGCATGTGCTCTTGACCAAAATGGAACCCAGGACCCTTCAGTCCGAAGTCTGATGCTCTATCCACTGAGCCAAACCAGCTAGGGCACCTTCAGTAGTTTTTGACATTGTTCTTTTGGTGCAAAATTTTAAAAGGAACACTGTATTCATTCTGACAGTTATAGGTATGGCTAAGGCAAAGGTGATAATCCAAATGATGTTAAAAACATTGGCTGGTTGCAGTATTTTGGATTTTTATAGCATGTTTCATTTAAACTGTCATAAATAAAGTGATGAACAAAATAGATCCAGAGACATAGAAATATGGAACAGACTGTCAAACATCAGAGAGAAGGTGGGGGTGTGTGTGGGGGAGAGATCAAAGAACTTGTATAGATATATGCATAACCCATGGATTCAGACAGTAGGGTGGTAAAGGTCTTGGGGGCCTGGGGGTGGGCTAGAAGGGATCAATGAGGGGAAAAGAGGGACATATGTTATACTTTCAACAATAAGGATTTAAAAAATAGAAATAAGTAAATGAAAAATGCTGTCATAAACCAGAATGTTAATCCTATCTAATAATAGACAAACATGGTAATTGACCATACCTTTGCAACGCCTCCTGTAGGCTAATCAGCGAGATATGCAAATTAACCGCCAACAAAGATGGCGGCTAATTTGCATACGTAGGTGCCAAGTGGTGGAGCGAAGGCTTGAAGGCGGCTCCAGCTGGAGCGAAGGCCTGGGTCCCGGGTGCCGGAGGAAAACCGGTGCCGGCAGCCATGGGAAGAGAAGGCCTATTCACGAATCTTTTCGTGCAACAGGCCTCTAATAGAGTATAAAAGATCAGGAAAGGACCATTGGAAACAGATTCCTTCATTCTATAGATAAGGAAACTAAGTCTCAGAGGTGGTCTTCACTTGCCTGTGATCAGTGAATAGCAGAGCTGGAACTAAATCCAGATTCTTTTTTTTTTTTTAATATATTATTTTATTTCAAAGAGGAAGTGTTGGGGTCCCGCCCCAACAGGTCCAGGGGTTCCCCAAGGTGTGGACGGAGTCGGCGAGGAAAGAAGGACACAGAGGCAGTGTTCAGGTGATCATCATAGCCAGGTTCCTCCTAGCCAGGTTCCTCCCTTTATTGTCATCTAACATCTGTATTTATACTATTTGGTCTTAATCCTTTCCATTCTATTCAAAAGGTTAGGGGTTTCTTATCTCCATTCAAGGTCACTCTATTGTTCTACTATGCTACAAGGAAGTAACTGAAGGAGGTTATTCTAAGTAAAGATTATGTAGTTTAAGCGTGATTGTTCGTAGTTAAAGTGATTACCCCTCTGGCACTTAGTTAAGGGGTTTACTGATAAAAAGCCTCACCTGGGGAAACAACCTTTCTTGGAGAGGTGACCTTGGTTAAAGCACATAGCGCTTAAGAAGGGGAGCAAACATATTAAGAACAGTATGCCATATACGCCAGGTCCCTTGAAACATCCCTACAGCAACTGTGTCAAGCAGCCAGGGTGGATCGGCTTCCAGCAAGGAAGGAAGAGGGAGAGAGAGATAGAAACATCAATGATGAGAGAGAATCATTAATTGGCTGCTTCCTGCATGCCCCTCACTGGGGATTGAGCCTGTACCCAGGTATGTGCGCTGACAGGGAATTGAACCATGACCTCCTGGTTCATAGGTGGATGCTCAACCATTGAGACATGCTGGTCGGGCTAAATCCCAGATTCTTACCTCTCACTTCAGTCCTCTTTCTACACTACTGTTCCTTCACTTATATACCCACTCTCTGTGTTTCATTAATAATTTGTCTTAAGCCCTAGCTGGTTTGGCTCAGTGGATAGAGTGTTGGCCTATGGACTGAAGGGTCCTGGGGTCGATTCCAGTCAAGGGCACAAGGGTTGTGATTCCCAATAGAGGGCATGCAGAAGGCAGCCGATGAATGATTCTCTCTCATCATTGATGTTTCTATCTCTATCCCCCTCTCCCTTCCTCTCTAAAATCAATAAAAATATTTATATATATATATATAAAAATAATAATTTATCTTAATATTCACTTCTCACTCTTTTCTTCTCCATGAAAGGAGAAAAACAGCCCTGACCCGTTTGGCTCAGTGGATAGAGCGTCGGCCTGCGGACTGAAGGGTCCCAGGTTCGATTCCAGTCAGGGGCATCTACCTTGGTTGCGGGCACATCCCCAGTGGGAGGTGTGCAGGAGGCGGCTGATCGATGTTGCTCTCTCATCGATGTTTCTAACTCTCTATCCCTCTCCCTTTCTCTCTGTAAAAAGTCAATAAAACATATTTTTAAAAAAAAAGAAAGGAGAAAAACATTCTCAGCTTTTGATTATGCAATAATAAAAGTAGATTTAATATCTAATATATGACTCCACATTGTAAATAATCAGTCAATAACTACCATATGACAAACTGATCATTGGAGTTATTTACAGCTTTGGTACCTGAGGCCAACCCTCCTCCTACAATAGTGACCATAGTGGTTGGGCCTATAGGTTCTGAAGTCAGACTGCCTCCCAATTAGATTCCAGGTTGTGTGACTAGGAGCTAGTACTTAACCTCTTCAGATCTCAGTTTGCTCATTGCCAGTTGGTTGTAATAATGGTACCTACCTTATAGGTTTATTGGGAGGTTTAACTGAGTTAATATGGAAAGTACCTAACTTAGTACTTGGCCTATTTTAGGTAGTAGCAGTCAAATGGTAACTACTGTTGCTATTTTATTATATGATGAGGGTTGTTATCTTTACTACCATTTTCATTAAGAGCTAGTTACTGCCCTAGCTGGTTTGGCTCAATAGATAGAGCATCGGCCGAGGACTGAAACGTCCCAGGTTTAATTCCAGTCAAGGGCACGTACCTTAGTTGAAGGCTTGATTCCCAGGAACATGTGGGAGGCAACCAATCAATGTGTCTCTCTCACATTGATGTTTCTCTCTGTCTTTCCCCCTCCCTTTCACTCTGTCTAAAAATCACTGGAGCCCTAGCCAGTTTGGCTCAATGATTAGAGTGTCGGCCTGTGGACTGAAGGATCTTGGGTTCGGTTCCAGTCAAAGGCATGTACCTTGGTTGCAGGCTCCTCCCTGGCCCAGGCCCTGGTCAGGGCTCATGCACGAGGCAACCAATTGATACATCTCTCTCACATTGATATTTCTCTCTCTGTCTTTCTCTCTCTTCCACTCTCTCTAAACATCAATGGGAAAATATCCTCGGGTGAGGATTAACAAAAAATAAAAATAAAAGAAAGTGGGTTACTGCCCTGGCCTGTGTAGCTTAGTGGGTTGGTCATCGTCCTGTGCCCCTAATGGTTGCTGGTTCGATACCCAGTAGGAGGCAGGCGATCAATGTTTCATTCCTGCATAGATGTTTCTCTCTCTTCCTTTCCCTTTTTCTTACTCTAAAAATCAATTTTTTAAAATGCATTAAAAACCCCCAAACTGGTTAGTTCCTCAAGAGAGCATGTTATGTCATCACATGTTCCACATGAAGGTTAGATTTCCTCTGTGTTTTTTTTCTTGGCCACCTGTAGACCCATGGACTTAACTACCCTGAAAAGGAATCTGTCTAAGGGGCGGATTCGCACCATGGCACAATTCCAGCGAGACTTGATGCTGATGTTCCAAAATGCTGTGATGTACAATGACTCTGATCATCATGTGTATCATATGGCTGTGGAGATGCAGCGAGAAGTCCTGGAGCAGATTCAGGTACTGTATGTAGACAGCTGCAAGAAAAATAAGTGTAATCTCTGGAATCAGATTTTAGAAAGTCTGAGAATAAGGGTGGGTGATGTTGAAGTGTTTCCAGAGTTTATGTTTAGAGGTGATTCAAGGATTAACATTTTACCTGCTGGTTTGGGAAATCCTGAGCCTCAGTAGGACCAGTTTTAACAGTGAAGTACTGAAGGGTTCTCAAGAGAGCTGTAATGGTAGTGGGAGCTCCTGCTGCCAGAGTCTCAAACCAGAGGGCTAAACATGTAAACCAGAGGCTGGAGTCACTGTCCATTTTAAATATTAATATTAATGTATGTTCACACTATCTGTCCATAGGGGATAAGATATAGTAGCCAGAAGATGACATTTGAGGGTTTCTTTTCTGGGTAACATCATATTTTACAGAAAAAAAGACTAATCAAATTTCACTGTGGAAAAGAAATTCAAACCTCTGTGGCTTTTAAGATTCATAGCTTGCTATCTGCCTTGACCTTGTAGGTGCTGAGTATTTGGCTAGACAAAAGAAGAAACTTAAATAGTCTGGAATGAGAACCAGCCAACCCAATGCATGATGAAAAACCTGTGTTGTTAACCTGGAACTGCTACCCTGACCTTTTCTGGAATTTGGACCTCTCATTGAGACTGATCCAGAGAAGATCCCAGTACTTGTTTACGTTCTCTGTTGTCTTTCATAATAAGAATAATACCTTAACTCACAACCTAGGAGTCAAAGATGCCTGTGGACATAATTTTAAGAAAAGGGGGGAAACTTATTTGATGTAATAAATATCACCCATATCTTTGTTCTATATCTATAGGCTTAATTTAGAGGTAATTGGATTAGACCTCTTATGACTGCTCTATAAATAAATGTTACTTCACAAGTATAAGATTGCTTTTTAATGATTACAGAAGCTGGGAATAGAGGGGACAGCATCATTTGGTGAAATGAGGAAGGTATTTGACATGGAAGGGGCATAGGGTGGGTGAAGGGAAAGTGTTTATGCTTTGTCTCATTTATAAAATGGGGATAATTGAAGCATGCTTCAAATGAGTAGGAGGATGAAAGAAGCTAAATTATGACGAAAATGTAAGAAAACGTCTAGTACGCTAAGATTCTTAAGGGGAATAAAAATGCCTGTGGCTGGCTCCCTTGATTAAGAGGAGCCCTCCAGAGGCTGTGAAACGGGCTGCTGGGATTGACTCTCTGCAGCCACCGTCCCTAAACTGGGCTTCGCGTCTCCTAGCAACGAGCAGTGGTCGCACAGGACGAGTTAGCACTGAGGTGAGTGCCCTAGACCAACCTCAGACTCAGAATCTGCGGATGCAGCTGGGAGAGGTCCAGGGGACCTGGGATCCTACTTTCCAACCCTTCCTGACCCTACTATGCATAGTCATCCTGGCGGGCCGGGGCGCTGAACCTGTCGCTGTATCGCGGAGAGTTGCCTACTCAGTCTCCGGTTGCTGCGCCTAAAATTTTAGGCATTTCCAGCCTTCAAGTTGCCCTGTGGCATCTCCACCTCATTGAAAGTATTTAGGAATCTCTCTCTCCCTCTCCCTCCCCCTCTCCCCCTCCCTCCCCCTCTCCCCCTCCCTCCCCCTCTCCCCCTTTCCCCCTCTCCCCCTCTCTCTCCCTCTTCTCCTCTCCCCCTCTCTCTCCCCCTCTCTCCTTCTCTCCCTCTCTCAATCCTCATGGACATAGACAGTAGTGTAATGATTGCGGAGGGATGGGGTCAGGTGCAGGTGGAAGTGGACATAGAGGGGATAAATAGTGCTGATGGGGGAGACGGGGAGAAGAAAAGACAGTGTTCAGGAAATCCCAAGGCACAACCGCAGAGTAGAAATTGTATTACAGGCATACCCCCTTTTATTGCACTTGCTTTCTTCACTACACAGGTATTGTATGTTTTACAAACTGAAGGCAAGACCCTCCATCAGCAAAAAAGATGATCACACCCTTTATTGCGATACTCGAGACAGAACTTGCAATATCTCCCATGTATGCCTGTATCAAAGACACTGCTTATAGAAAAATATATTGCAGTTTCTAACTTTATAAATTAATAAGATCAAGCACTTAATAATGCCCTTCTTAATCACAATTACATTTAATTGGGTCGGGGGAATGCATGTCATTGCAGTTGATACCGTCAAGAATCTCTTTAACTTGTACCTCAAAAAACCAGAATGGAACTATCGATGTCCCCACTTCAGATATATGTAGAAAAAACTCTGGCCATTATCAAACCAGATATTGTTGACAAAGAGGAGGAGATACAAGATATTATTATCAGATCTGGATTCACCATTGTTCAGGTAACTTTTGGGGAAATGATTATGTTATTTTCTCTCATTCATCTTTCTTTTTATATTTATGTAAATGTGTTAACCTATTTAGATCCATAGTATTTAGCATTAAATTTAGGTTTATTCTTCTAACTATAAAAGTTACATGAGATAGTTTTAAAGTTTTTTCTCACACTTCAAAATATGTAAAATGAAAAATAAAATTCTTTTACCTCCTCTCCAAATCCCAGTCTTCAGAAAGGGGCAACCATTAACACTTTCTGTTCTTCCAGGATTTTCTATGCATTCACAAGTATCTCTCTCACCCCTTAAAATAGGACAATCCCCTTCTCTTGACCACCTTTACAAATCCCTCAAATAGCATTTCAGATCATTACATCTGAATCTAGTTTATTCATCCTAACTTTTGTGTAAATCCCCCTGTGTGGATGAACAACAATTTATTTACTTGGTCCTCTTTAAAAAAAAAAAAAAAAGTATTGATTTTAGAGAGAGAGGAAGGGAGAGGGAGAGAGAGATAACATGATGAGAAAGAAACAACATTGTTTGGCTGCCTCCTGCACACCCCCTGCTGGGGATTGGGAGCGCAACCCAGGCTCTCAGATTGGGAATCCAACCAATGACCTCTTGGTGCATGGATCCATGCTCAAGGACTGAGCCACACTGGCTGGGCTTCTTGGTCCTCTATTGATAGACTTTGAGACTGTTGGTATTTTTTTTTCAATCATTACAAACATTTAATGTTTTAAGCCTTTTTTGTTCTGCAGTTGGTAGAGGTTTGAAAATGAATGTAAAAAATATTAAATAGAATTTAATATGTTTAATCTTCCTTTTTTGTAGCTATTTTATTTGAAATTCCAGTTTTTATTCTCTTATACTGTGTCATATTGCCTATTTAGTCAATGTTTTAAAAAATGAAAAGGAGAATCTTCAGGAAAGAAATGGGATATCAGTTGAACTTAGGTGGAGGCTGAAGATAGGGATGGTATAAGAAAGTGTAAGGAAAGAATACAGGAAAGTATAAGGAAATATTTCATATAGTAATGAAAGGACTCAGGTAAAATGAACTTTTTAATAAATGTTAGGAAAACCAAGTAGCAATTTTTTAAAAACTTGGATTGGCCTTTTGGCTCTCTGAGCAGCACCATGGCGTTGGGCAAGAACCAGTCTCTTATGAAAGGAGGCAAAAAGGGACTCAAGAATAAAGAGGCCGTAACCGGTTTGGCTCAGTGGATAGAGCGTCGGCCTGTGGACTGAAAGGTCCCAGGTTCGATTCCGGTCAAGGGCATGTACCTTGGTTGTGGGCACATCCCCAGTGGGGGGTGTGCAGGAGACAGCTGATTGATGTTTCTCTCTCATTGATGTTTCTAACTCTCTATGCCTCTCCCTTCCTCTCTGTAAAAAATCAATAAAATATATATTTTTAAAAAAAAGAATAAAGAGGTTGACCCATTTTCTAAGAAAGATTGTATGATGTGAAAGCACCAGCTATATTCAATATAAGAAATATTGGAGCCCTCGCCAGTTTTTCTCAGTGGTTAGAGCATCAGCCCTTGAACCAAAGGGTCAAGGGTTCAATTCCTGGTCAAGGGCATGTTCTGTCCCTGGCTCCAGTTAGGGGCACATGTGGGAGGCAACCAATTGATGTGTCTCTCTCACTTTGATGTTTCTCTCTCCCCTCCCCCCCCATCCCATTCTCCCTCCCTTCCACTCTGTCTAAAAATCAATGGAAAAAAATATCCTCAGGTGAGGGTTAAAAATAAATAAATAAATTTTTAAAAAGAAATGTTGGAAAAACACTAGTCATGAGAACTCAAGGAACCAAAATCACATCTGATGGTCTGAAGGGTCATGTTTTTTAAATGAGCCTAGCTGATCTGCAGAATGATAAGTTGCATTTAGAAAATTCAAGCTAATTACTGAAGCTTATTCAGGCAAAAACTGACTAATTTCCATGGCATGGATCTTACCTGTAACAAAATGGTAAAAAAGTGGCAGATCATGATAGAAGCTCATGTTGATGTCAAGATTAGCAATAGTTATTTGCTTCATCTATCTTTGTTGTTTTTATTTAAAAAAAAAAAAAAGTGAAACAATCAGATTTGGAAGACTCTTATGCTCAGCATCAACAGGTCCACCAAATCCAGAACCTGATGGAAATCATGACCCAAGAGGTGCAAACAAATGACTTGAAAGAAGTGGTCAATTAATTGATTCCAGATAGCATTAGAAAAGGCAGAAAAAGCTTACCAATCTATTTATTCTCTCCATTGATGTCTTTGTAAGAAAAGTCAAAATGCTGAAGAAGTTCAAATTTGAATTGGGAAAACTCATGGAGCTTCATAGTGAAGGTAGCAGTTCTGGAAAAGCTACTGGGGATCAGACAGGTGCTGAAGTTGAATGAGCTAATGGATATAATTTTATTTACAGCCTACATTTAATTTTCTTACCTCATCCTTTCTTCATAATACAAAAATAAATGTCAAATTTGTAATCAGGTTGGTACTAATTTCAAGTTATTATTGAACTGTCACTTTAAATGCTTTTGTTGATTTTGTTTCTCTTATAGAGAAGAAAACTACAGCTTAGCCCTGAGCATTGTAGTAACTTTTATGTGGAACAGTATGGAAAAATGTTTTTCCCCAACTTAACAGCTTATATGAGTTCTGGACCACTTGTTGCCATGATATTAGCTAGACATAAAGCCATCTCTTACTGGAAAGAACTTTTGGGGCCAAGTAATAGCTTAGTAGCTAAGGAGACACACCCAGACAGGTAATTTTATTTTTTTTCTTTCTTTTTTTTTTTGATAAAAACCATACATCCTTTTTATTGTTAAGTCATAAAGAGGTATCAAAATTAAAAGCAAAAATTACAGGGTTAAGACAACATAACTACTAGGAGCATCAAAGGAGGTGAAAATGGGACTAGGCGCAGGGCAATATGAATTAATGAACATGGAGATACAGAGGCAGAGCTGCCTTAAACAGATTGTCAAACTGCAGTGGGAAGGCCGGGGAGGGTTGGAGGGCAGGAGGGAGGGGGGTAAGAGATCAACCGAAGGACTTGTATGCATGCATATAAGCATAACCAATGGACATAAGACACAGGGGGGTAGGGGAGGCCAGGGATTGTCAAGGGTGGGGAAAAAAAAAAGGACACATATATAATACCCTTTGTAATACTTTAAGCAATAAAAAAAAAGAAAAAAAGAAAAAAATTAATGAACATGGGAGGGATGAGATGGGGAGAACAGTGAGCATGTGCTGAAGGTACTAGGGAGAGGATCTGGTGAAAATTTTGATCTTAGACAAGTGCCTACATAAAGAAATAATGGGACAACATTTCTAAACCCCACTATGTGCTTAAGAGTCATCCTCGCCATTGCGCTGTCCCTCAGGTAATTTTCCTAGGGAAAAATGCAATCTAACTATGAAAATGAAAAAAAAAATCTGATTTCATTTTAATAGGGATTTTCTTTTATTTGAAAGTTTTCCTCAATTTAACTGTTTTTTTTGTTGTTTGGGTTTTTTGGGGCGGCAGGGAGGTCCATTTTATGTTTTAACTATTTAAATCTGTATCTTTTTTTTTTTTTTTTAAATATATTTTATTGATTTTTTACAGAGAGGAAGGGAGAGAGATAGAGAGTTAGAAACATCGATGAGAGAGAAACATCGATCAGCTGCCTCCTGCACATCTCCTACTGGGGATGTGCCCGCAACCCAGGTACATGCCCTTGACCGGAATCGAACCTGGGACCTTTCAGTCCGCAAGCCGACGCTCTATCCCCTGAGCCAAACCGGTTTTGGCTAAATCTGTATCTTAATACCAAATAACACAAAAGGTCTCAGGGAATGTCTGTTTATGGTTGATTAACCTTATTCTCTTATCCTGGAATTAAACTACCACTGAAGTAGGGTTTTTCATGAGAAAATTGGTGTGGTATTTTGAAAGAATATTGATAATATAGGACCAGATATCAAGATTTCCAGTATTATCATTAATGTCTAGAAACCAGTGGACATTGAATTCTTGCACTTTAAAAAAAAATACATTTTTATTGATTACAGAGAGGAAGGGAGAGAGAGATACAAGCATCAATGATGAGAATCATTGATCGGCTGCCTCCTGCACACCCCACACAGAGGATCGAGCCTGCCACCTGGGCATGTGCCCTGACTGGGAATTGAACCATGAACTCCTAGTTTATATAGGTCGACGCTCAACCACTGAGCCACGCCAGCCAGGCGAGTTCTTGCACTTTTGAATTGATACTGCTTTTTCACTTCTCACAAAACACCTCTTTTTCATCCAGGGAACTCCTATTTTCCCAGTGTATCCCGCCTGAAGATTTTAAAGATATTTGACCCTCATCTAGATTAAAGCTTGAATTCAAGCTTAAAACCATATGTGAGAAGTGGCAAAGTTTTTGTAAAATACCTAAATAGGATGCATATATGGAAAGTAAGAAAAAGGTTGTCAGGTAGGATGGTCATCATCTCTAACTTGCTTTTAGTCTAAGGGCAATTTATGGCACAGATGACCTAAGGAATGCACTTCATGGGAGTTATGATTTTGCTGCAGCCGAAAGAGAAATTCGATTCATGTTTCCTGAAGGTGAGTTATAGATGAGTTATTAGTCAATTGCATCTCCTTATTGTTTGCTTTTTCTTTTATTTTGGGATGTAACTAGGAAAAAAGTAATTGCTTTTCTCCAATGTGTTTTGTCGTATTTTCAAGTTGTAGTTAAGTTAAAGCCAAGAATAGAAAACTCAATATTATCTTCAGAACTAAATTGTGCCTTCTAGGAAATCATTTGAGAACAGTTTAATTTTTTTTCTTTCTTTTCTCTTGGACTAGAAATATTTAGGGTTTCTCTTCTCCTTCTGTGTTGTAATTCCTTTGAGTTATCTATAATGTATCAGTAAAGTTTGTTACACATGAAAAAAAGAATCTTCATTGTAAATTATGATTGGTTTACCATTTTCTAACAGTTTACTGTTTGTCCAGCACACATGCAATTGTGAAATTAATATTTCTTGGCCCTTTTTGTTTGTTTCCATCCTGTTATAGAGATTATAAATCATTTATTTATTTATTTAATATATTTTATTGATTTCAGAAAAGAAGGGAGAGAGATAGATACATCAATGATCAGAGAGAATCATTGATTGGCTGCCTCCTGTACACCCCACATTGGGGATCGAGCCCACAACCTGGGCATGTGCCCTTGATCAGAATTGAACCCAGGACCCTTCAGTCTGCAGGCCAATGCTCTATCCACTGAGCCAAACCAGCTTGAGCTATAAATCTTTTAGAAGTAGGCACAATGAGGACAACACTGAGGTTTTTAGTTTGTTTTCAATAATTTTAAGACAAAGAAAATTTGCTGATTTTCATTATAAAGACAAAATGCGAAGCATCAGGTAGTTTTGAATTTTTTTTTGCATGTTATTTCTTTTCTAACTCATTTAGACTTGTTCCTCTCTATTTTATACTGAATAATTATTCAAAGAAAATGGAAAACTATCTTGGATATTTAAAAGTGCTGATTTTTAAACAAAAACTTTTATAGATATTTGTATCCAAAAGTATTTGCCTACTTATATTTAATCTTACTGATCTAATTTCTGTCACATATCCATTGTATTAAGGTGTTGTTTTCTTCACAACTGTTTATTGTGTAAAATTTCCAACATACACAAAAGTAGGCAAAATAATATGATAAACCCCTTATGAACCCATCACCCAATTTTAATAGTTATGGTCAATCTTATTTCATCTGTAACCCCTGCTCCTATTTCTCCTGCTTCCATATTATTTTGAAGCATATCTCAAACATCAGTTGATGTGTTTTTTGTTTTCTTTTTATTAATATATTTTTATTTATTTTAGAGAGGAAGGGAGAGGGTGAGCGAGATAGAAAGATCAATGATGAAAGAGAGTAACTGCTTGGCTGCCTCCTGCACACCCCCTACTGGGGATCGAGCCTGCAACCCAGGCATGTTCCCTGGCCGGAATTCACACTGTGACCTCCAGATTCATAGGTCGATGCTCAACCACTGAGCCACGCCAGCTGGGCAACATCAATTTTTTTTTAATGTTGTAGTACTTTAGATTTAGTCCTACTAATGAATTAGATTTTTCCTCCTTAGTTTTTAACTAAAATAGGATAAAAATTCACTTTATCTTAAGTGGAAGATAAATTTGGAAGCTCTTCTTACTCATAAGGTTATATCCCTAAACTGTTATTTTAATTGCCTTTTATTTAACCCATTAATTAATCCTCTAGATATGAATTTAAAAGATACAGTTAGACATTTGAGAATCAGCAGTTATAGGATACATATAAGTGATTAATTACCTACCACATTGCAGATCTTTTGCTGTGGGAATATGAAGTTATTTGGCATAAGTTCTCAGAGTGTGGTATGAGCTCCATCTTGTTTAGCAGTCAGTCAAGAACTATGTGCAAAACCCTATATGGTGCGTGGCTAAAGCAAGTTGTAAAGATATTCAAAAACATAATGCTAACCCTTAAAAAAATTAGTGCTCTTCCTTTTACCTTTAATAGGGATGGCTGGTAAAGCTTTGCTACCTTCCATTCATTCAACAAGTTTGTTGAGTTACCAACTTAATAAAAATAAAGTCAAATAAGATGTCCCTGCTCTCAAGATGATCTTATTCTAAAAGCCTATGAAAATATACAATGCAATGTATAAATTATAAATATCATTAAAAAGTGCAATGAAAGTTTATCAACATAAACATAAAAACACTTTTTATTCTCATGACCTCATTTAGCCCTAGATGCCAGAGACAAATGATAAATGGTCAGCAAAAATAGATGAGGTAGAAATAATTCAAAAATGAAGTTAAGGAAATAATTTTATTTACAATAGCATCAACAATAACAAAATACTTAAGAATAAATTTTAGCCCTACCTGGTGTGGTTCAGTGGTAGCAAGGTTGGGCAAACTTTTTGACTCGAGGGCCACAATGGGTTCTTAAACTGGACCGGAGGGCCGGAACAAAAGCATGGATGGAGTGTTTGTGTGAACTAATATAAATTCAAAGTAAACATCATTACATAAAAGGGTACGGTCTTTTTTTTTTTAGTTTTATTCATTTCAAACGGGCCGTATCCGGCCCGCGGGCCGTAGTTTGTCCACGGCTATATAGAGCATCGGCCTGCGGACTGAAGGGTCCCGGGTTCGATTCTGGTCAAGGGCACATGCCTGGGTTGTGGGCTCAATCCCCAGTAGGGGGTGTGCAGGAGGCAGCTGATCAATGACTCTCTCTCATCATTTTTTTAAAAATATATTTTAGTGATTTTTTACAGAGAGGAAGGGAGAGGGATAGAGAGTTAGAAACATCGATGAGAGAGAAACATCGATCAGCTGCCTCCTGCACACCCCCTACTGGGCATGTGCCTACAACCAAGGTACATGCCCTTGACCAGAATCGAACCTGGGACCCTTGAGTCCGAAGGCTGACGCTCTATCCACTGAGCCAAACCAGTTAGGGCAGACTCTCTCATCATTGATGTTTCTCTCTCTCTCTCTCTCCCTTCCTCTCTGAAATCAATAAAAAAAGTATATTTTTTTAAAAGAATAAATTTTAAAAACGAGTGTAATTCTTGTACACTGAAAAGCACAAAACATTGCTGAGAGAAATCAAAGACTATCTAAATAAGTAGACATCCATGTTCATGGATCAGGAGAGTCAGTATTATCAAGATGTCAACTGCACATCCACATGCAAAAGAAAATAACTTAGACACTTGTTTCATAGACCTACAACGTCAAAGCTAAAAACATCTAGAAGAAAACAAAGGGGAAAATCTTCATGACCTTGAGTTGGACAGAGAGTTCTTACATATAACATGAAAAGCATGGTCCAGCCCTAGCTGGTTTGGCTCAATGGATAGAGCGTTGATCTGCAGACTGAAGGGTCTCAGGTTCGATTCCTGTCAAGGGCACATACCTGGGTTGAGGGCTCAATCCCCGGTAGGGGGCCTGCAGGAGGCAGCTGATCAATGGTTCTCTCTCATAATTGATATTTCTATGTCTCTCTCCCTCTCCCTTCTTCTCTGAAATCAATAAAATATTCTTAAAAAATGGCCTGGGTGGATGTTAACTCCTTAAAAAAAATAAAGCATAGTCCATAATAAAAAATATTGATAAATGGGACTACATAAAAATTAGAAGTTTTGTGCTTCAAAAGCTATCATTAAGAATATGAAAAGATAAGCCACAGGGTGGGAAAAAATATTTGCAAATCATACATAAAGAAGTAGAATTAAAGGGTGGGGCAAAAGTAGGTTTATAGTTGTTCATGTGTAAAATAATACAGTAATTAATAAATAATAATACAAGAATAAACTGTGTTTCATGTACTCCCAGCCATAAACCTACTTTTTAAAAAATTAATATATTTTTATTGATTTTAGAGAGGAAGGGAGAGAGAGATGGAAACATCAATGATGAGAGAGAATCATTGATCGGCTGCCTCCTGCAAACCCCCCACTGGGGATCAAACCTGCAACCCTGGGATGTGCCCTTGTCAGAAATTGAACCCAGGACCCTTCAGTCTGAAGGTCAATGCTCTATCCACTGAGTCAAACCAGCTAGTGCCATAAACCTACTTTTGCTCCACTCTGTATAAAGAACTCTTACAACTCAATAATAAACAACCCAATTAAAAAATGGGCAAAATATTTGAATAAGCATTTCACAAAAGACAATATATGAATGGCTAATATGCACATGAAAAAGTGCTCAACATAATAATTGGAGAAGTGCAAAATAAAACCACAATGAGATACCATGGCATTTTCACTAGAATGGCTGTAATCAATGGTAAGGATATAGCAATACTGGGATCCTCATACATTATCGTAAAATGTTACAGCCACTTTTGTATTTTAACTTATTGGGGGAGAGAGAGAGAGAAACAACAACATTGATTTGTTGTTCCACTTATTAATGCATTCATTGGATGATTCTTGTATGTTCTCTGACCGGGATTGAGCCTGAAACCTTGGTATATCAGAACGATGCTCTAACCAACTGAGCTACCTGGCCAGGGCTTATAGCACTTAAAAAAACAAAACAGTTTGGCAGTTTCTTAAGATATTAAGAAACCAGGTAAGTCTGTTAGCAATTCAACTCCTGGCGGAATCTACCACCCATTTTGAAAACATCCATCTACATAAAGACACGTGAATCTTTATAGCAGCATTATTTAATGTACCCCCAAATTGGAAACAATCCAACTGTTAGCCATACAATGGAACACAACTCAATTAAAAGGAGCATGATACATGCCACAACATGGATGAACCTCAAAACATGCCAAGTGAAAGAATCCAGGCACAAAAGACCACATATTACATATATAATCCACTTATATGAAATGTCCAGAAAAGGCAAATTTTTAAAAACAGAAGCACAGTGGTTGCAGGGGGTAGGAGTGGGAGTGGGAAATTGCAAATGGACACAAGGAAATATTTTTGGAGTGATCAAAGTGTTCTAAAACTGGATGATGGTGATGATAGCACAGCTAAACGTTTATTAAATATCACTTGTATACTTCAATGGATGGATGAGTTTTATGATATGTAAATTATACCTCAATAAAACTTTAAAAAATTATAAAAAATGGATGAGGTCTGTGCTCCCATGGAGTTTATAGTCTAGTGTTTGAAAGATAGCCATTAAATAAGAATTACCCAAATAATTGCATAGTTATTGTGTGATAAGTGCTATACAAAACAATTGTAGACTGTAAGGAAGGTCTGACTGAGGAAGTGACTTTTTAGCTGAGATCCAAAGAGTAAACAGTGGTTAACCAGAGTAAAGGGAAGAATGTTCTAGCAGAAGGAATAGCATGTGCTCAAATCATGAGCAGGAAATAACATGGCACATTCTATAAACAAAAAAGATTTTGGTAAGAGAATTAAGATGAGGTTAAAGAGGGTAGTATAGGTGACATGGTACAGAGTCTTACGGGCTATAATATGGAGTCCTGTCTTGACTATACTATATATGCAAGCAAGAGCCAATGAAGCATTTTAAGGATGGGAGTGATATAATCTGATTTTCATTTTTAAAATAGGGTCTGGGGCACTGGATGGATATCTCAGTTGGTTAGAGCGTCTTCCCAATATGCCAAAGTTGTGGGTTTGCTCCCTGGTCAGGACAAACATATAAGAATCAACCAGTAAGTGCATGGGTGAGTGGAGCAACAAATTGCTGTCTCTCTCTCTCTCTCCCCCCCCCCCTTCCTCTCTAAAATCAATAAATTTTTTAAAAGTAGCATATTGATGGAGGTCAATCTCAAAAGATCTACTCAGCCTTATAAAATACATTCTTTCTTGTATAAATATATTCTTTCTTGTATTGCAAATCTGGTTCACCTCCATAGTGTTCAAATAAGGCTGAAAAGACTAAAATTTCCCCAAGTTTTTAAATAATTCATTTAAAAACCTGAAAAATAAGAGCAGGAATATTAATACATATTATATAGACAGATATAAGTTTTATGTGTATATTCAGTAGTCTATAAGAGAGCAAGAACTGCATACTATTCACTGTTATACCTACCACTTTGTGAAGCACCTGTCATTTTGTTGGCAGGAATTTTTGGATTGAACGAATCTCCCTGATTTTACATGTTCTTCATATTTTTCTTTTTCATAACATTGTGTGTTACAACATTTACTGTAAATAACATGGAAATGAAAATGCAGAAAAGGATATAGTTGAAAAAATAATCAGAATCTTACACATGATTACTATTAGCATTGTGATATGTTTCTTGCCAGTTTTATGTAGTCTTATTTTTTTAATGTGTGTGCTTGTGTGTTTTTGAATCAACCGCTATGCTATGTATCAGTTCTATTCCCTTAAAAACCTTTATAAGTATTTCTCATGACATTAAAATTTATTTGAAGGTAACTTTTAAATGACTGTATAATATTTCATCATTTATATTAGCTTTAATGGGGATACATTTGTATTTGCAGTGATTGTTGAGCCTATTCCAGTGGGACAAGCTGCGAAGGACTATTTAAATTTATATGTAACACCAACTCTGCTTAAAGGACTCACAGAGCTTTGTAAGCAAAAACCAGCAGATCCTTGTGTAAGCAATCTTTTTATTCACACTAAAGAATATTGAATATAGGTTTCATATCTCAAAGATTGTCTTTGCAACAGTGTAAGTACTGAGAATCATTGTTTTTGTTGTTGTTGTTGTTGTTGTTGTTGTTAATCTTCACCTTTTTTCCATTGATTTTTAGAGAGTGTGGAAAGGAGGGGGAGAGACACCCAGAGAGGAAAACATTAATGTGAGAGAGACACATTGATTGGTTGCCTCCTGCACACACTCCGACCTCAGGCCAGAGATGGAGCCTGCAATCAAGGTACATGCCCTTGTGCCCTTTACCGGAATTGAACCTGTGATCCTTCAGTTCATGGGCTGACTCTCTAGCCACTGAGCAAAACCAGGTAGGGCATGAGAGTCATTTTTAAAAACGTTTATATACAGTTTAGATACTTCTGTATGTGTAACTTTTTTTTTTTTATTTAATTTCAGAGAGAGGAAGGGAGAGAGAGAGAGAAACATTAATGATGAGAGAGAATCATTGATCGGCTGCTGCCTGCATGTCCCACACTGGAGATTGAGCCCACAAACCGGGCATGTGCCATGACATAAATGTTACCATATTTAAATATATATTTATAGATATTATTTTAATAGTTACATGATTTCTTTTGTTGCCTTTATTATTATTCTTTTATTGTTTGAGTTGTTTGCTATTTAAATACTATAACAATAAACAGCTGAGCATAAAGCTTTTCACATATCGAGATTATTTCATTCGGAAAGAAATCAGAAAGTAGAATTATAATTCAAAACATAAAAAATAATTTAAAATTGACCCTTAAAGAACTTGCTTTATATTTTAATTATTAATTTTTGAATAAGTAATATTTGAATATAGTATAATTCAAAGGTCACAAAAGGATATATAATGAAAAGTAACTCTCCTTGCTGTTCCTGTTCCTCAACCACCCAATTGTGGTCCTTGAAGTAAATTGCTGTTACCAGCCTCTAGTATAATCTTTATGAGAAAATATATGCATATACAGGTAAAAGTAGGTTTGCAGTTGATCATATGGGAAAATATATCATGCAAGAATCTATATATATAAAAGGCTAAGCGACCGGCTGACTGGCCGGTAGGTATGACTTGCACTGACCACCAGGGGGCAGATGCTCAACACAGGAACTGCCCAGTGACAGCAACTCTCTCACTCCGGGACCCCTTGGGGGATGTTGGAGAGCGGTTTTGGCCCAATCCCCGCAGGTCCCACAGGCCAGCCCAATGGACCCAACCTGCCAGAGGGACCCCGCTCACTCTACAGATGCCCTTTGAGCCACGGCTCTGTCCCAGGTGCAGCCGGCCAAGGAGGGACCGTGGGAGGTTGGCTCCAGGGTGTGTCTAGCCCAGCGGTTATCAACCTATGGGTCGCGACCCCTTTGGGGGTCGAACGACCCTTTCACAGAGGTTGACTAAGACCAGCCGTGGGCAAACTACGGCCCGCGGGCCTCCGGCCCGTTCAGCTGTTCTATCGGGCCCGCGGAGCCGAAAGAGCGGAGGGTTCTCTTGCTCTCCCCTCCGCTCCTTCACCAGCACCAGTGTTAACATGTATTAGTTCACACAAACACTCCATCCATGCTTTTGTTCCAGCCCTCCAGTCCAGTTTAAGAACCCATTGTGGCCCTCGAGTCAAAAAGTTTGCCCACCCCTGACTAAGACCATCGGAAAACACATATAATTACATATTGTTTTTGTGATTAATCACTATGCTTTAATTATGTTCAATTTGTAACAATGAAATTGGGGGTCACCTCAACACGAGGAACTGTATTAAAGGGTCGTGGCATTAGGAAGGTTGAGAACCACTGCTCCAGGCCCTAGTAAAGTAACCTCTCTATATTTCATGTACATGGAATTATAGAATATTTGTTCTTTTGTTTCTGGCTTATTTCACTTAGCATAATGTTTTCAGAGTTCATTCATATTGTAGTATGTATCAGAATTTCATTCCTTTATGTCTGAATAATAATTATATATATATATATAATTTTGTTTATTCATTCATCTGTTGATGGGTACTTGGGTTGTTTCTACCTTTTAGCTATTGTGCTTAATGTTGTATGAACATTGGTGCACAATTATCTATTTAAGTACTTGTTTTTAATCCTTTGGGGCATATACCTATGAGTGGAATTGCTGAGTCATATACTGTGTTTGGCTTTCTGAGGAACCACCAACTTATTTTCCACAGTGATCACTTTTTACATTCCCACTAGCAATGTATGAGAGTTCCAGTTTCTCTACATCCTGGCCCACACATATTCTTTTCTGTTTTTGTTTCATTATAATAATCGTAGTAGATGTGAAATAGTTTATCAGTGTGGTTTTGATTTGCATTTCTCCAATGTAAATTATGTTGAGCATCTTTTCATGTGCTTATTGGCCATTTGTATCTTTGCTTTGTAGAAATGTCTGTTCCAGTTAAAGTTTTTTGCCCAGTTTTAATTTTTTGTTGTTGTTGAGTTGTAGTTTTTTTATATGTTATAGGTATCAAACCCTTGTCAGATATACTATTTGTTAAATTTTTCTCCCTTTCTGTAGGTTGGTTGTCTTTTCACTTTCTTGATAATGTTTTTTGATGCCAAAAAGTTTTAAAATTTAAATGAAAATCAATTTATCTTTTTTATTTTGTTGCTCATGTTTTTGGTGTCATATCTAAGAATCCCATTGCTAAATCCAAGGTGATGAAGATTTATTTCTATGTTTTCTTTTAAGATCTTAATGGTTGCCTGACTGGCGTGGCTCAGTGGTTGAACACTGACCTATGAATCTGGAGCTCACGGTTCTATTCCCTGTCAGGGCACATGCCCAGGTTGTGGGCTCCATCCCCAGTGTGAGTCCTGCAGGAGGCAGCCTTTTAGTGATTCTCTCTCATCATTGATGTTTCTATCTCTCCCTCTCCCTTCCTCTCTGGAATCAATTAAAAAATATATTTAAACAAGATTTTAATGGTTTTAGCTCTTATATTTCAGCTGTTGATCCATTTTAAATTAATTTTTATATATGTGTTAGGGTTTATTTCTGGACTCTCAGTGCTAGTCCATTGGTCTATATATGTCTATCTATATGCCAGAACCACACTGCTTGGATTGCTATAGTTTTGAAGAAGATTTTGAAATAAGAAAGAACAAAGTCAGAAAATCCTCCAATTTTGTTCTTTTTCATGATTGTTTTAGCTATTCAGAGCCCTCTTGAAATTCTATGTAAATCTGAGCATTGACTTTTCCATTTCTGCAAAAATGATTGTTGGAAATTTGATATTGTTTGTGTTGAATATGCATATCAGTTTGGGTAGTATTGATATTTAACTTCTTAACAGTATTATTAAGTCTCTCTAGCCATTAACACAGATGTCTTTATTTAGGTCTTTAAATTTCTTTCAACTATGTGGTGGTTGTTTTGTTTTTGTTTTTGTTTTTGTTTTTTTTTTGTTTTTGTCTTTTAACACCAAGATCTGCAAAAAGCCAACTTCTAACATAGGATACCAGCTATATTTAATAGTTTTCAGTTATACAAGTTGGTTAAATTTATTCCTAGATACTTGTTTTTCAGTGCTATTATAAATGAAAGTGATTTCTTAATCTCCTTTTTGGATTGTTCGTTAGCAATGTATAGAAACAACTGATTTTTTTGTGTTGATCTTATAACCTACAACTTTGCCAAATTCATTTATTAGCTCTGGTAGCTTTCTTGTGGATTCTTTGGGATTTTCTATATATAGGATCATATCATTTGTAAGTGGAAATAGTTTTACTTCTTCCTTTCCAATTTGGATCTGTACTTGACAGTCTTACATACTGTAAAATTTAGTGTTTCAGTTTTTAATGGTCATTTTTTCATTATTCTTAGAGTGATTTTGAAAACTGTTTTAGGTTTAAATTGATATACTATATATTGAAGAAAATATGTAAATGTTTACTAAGTTAAGGTATCTTTTCTTTTTTCCATAGATTTGGCTAGCTGATTGGCTGTTGAAAAATAATCCCAACAAACCTAAACTTTGTCACCATCCAATTGTAGAAGAAACTTATTAAAATAAAGTCCTCCAAAGAACAAATCATGAACGATCTCATTTTAAAGGCCTGCTTCTAGGCTTCTACTTAAAAAACAAATATGATCTCACTCCTATGTGGGATATAATGATCAACATAATTTGATGAACAAGAATAGATCCAGAGACAAATGGCGGGGGGGAGGGGGTGGTGGTTAGAGAGCAACCAAAGGACTTGTATGTGTGCATATTAGCATAACCAATGGACACAGACACTGGGGTGGTGGGGCTTGCCTGGGGTAGGAATTGGGGGGGGGTGTCAATTGTGGAAAAAGACATATGTAAAACTTTAGACAATAAATTAATTCATTAAAAACAACAACAACCATAGTCTTAAGGGTTTAAGTAGCTGCATGTGAAATAAATTATTTGTTTTTTTAAATTATTTGTTAAAAATACCTTTTAAAAGAATAGTAGTGTTTTGTGCAGCAGATAAGATTATCTAAGGGAAAATATAGGGTTAGGGTATGATTTTTAAAAATATATTTGTATTGATTTCAGAGAGGAAGGGAGAGGGAGAGAAAGATAGAAACATCTATGATGAGAGAGAATCATTGATCCGCTGCCTCCTGTATGCTCCCTACTGGGGATCGAGCCCGCAATCCGGGCTTGTGCCCGACCAGGAATTGAAACCGTGATCACCTAGTTCATAGGTCAATACTCAACCACTGAGCCACACCAAGCAGGCTGATTTTTTTATTATTATTATTAAGAAAATTGTATTTCTTTAGAGGCATTTAGAATGTCAACAAAACAACTGCAACTTTTTTGGGGGGTTACAAAGTGGTATTTAGTTAATAGGTCAGCAATGAATTCATATAAGATGCATTAGAGACAAATGAGTGAAAAACTGCTATCCTTATAAATAACTAATTTGTCCTATGTACAAACAATAACCTGCTTTAAACTTCTATGCCAATTTACAACCCCCCCACCCCCCCCCAACCCCCCCACCCCATACTAGGCAAGGTGATTGGCTATTGAAAATACCACCAGGTCAGAGCTAGCTAGCATTTAACACATTTGGTAGTATGTTAACTATACCAAAAAAGATACTACTGTACAGTTTAGAAACAAGTCTTGCATATAGCCTTACATTTCTTTTCTTTTTTTTTTTTCTTTAAAGGGAGTGAGATGTGTTAAATGCTTTATAGACTAAAAATTAGAACCAGCTTATTTATCATCATCTTCTGCCTGTCTCCTCTTCATCCTTTTCATCTTCTTTCTTTCCTCCTTTTTCTTGCTTTTTGCAGCCTTGATGACTCCCTTTTTAGCCTCATAACCTTATGCAAGTATATATTTTTCATGTTTTTCCTTCACCTTAGCAGCCTTATGGACATGGCTTGTCATCTGCAGTATTAGTCCACATCTCTCCCAGTTTCTTTGTAGCATCACCAATATATAGGTTGTCCCCAAAAATGTATACACACACTTTGAATAATTAGAAAGGCAGTGTTTATTAAAATATATTTCATTTTCAAAATTGAGCTATCAGCTGTTACAGTGTGTATATATTTTTTGGGACACTCTGTATAAGCCAAGGTGTTCTTTGAATTGGGGGCAATAGAACAATAAAAAGACTTAAGGAGGCCTCTTGGGTGCATTGGGATCTTTGAACTTTTTGTTTACCCTTTAGGAGGAATATAGGTTTTCATTTCTCTTTTATAGAGGGTATTTTCTGCCTTTGAGATATCTTCAAAGTTTCCTTTCTCTAGCAGATAGTCTCTCACCTCTCAGCACTTTTCAGAAAGCTCTGAGAAGGTGACTAAAGCATCTAAGTACTTTTTCTTGTGCTCCTCTCAGTAAGTTTGCAAAAAGAATGTATATGATGTCATTTTGCTTCTCGGTTTCTTAGAATCTCCTTTGCCCATGTTTAGTTTTTCTTTTCTTTTTTTCCCCTCAATGAGGCACAAAGTCACCCAGTCATCTGCAGTAGTATTAGTCCACACCTTTCAGGCCCTCACTTGCCCTGGAGTTATCTCTATGGAGTTCATGTACTGCAGTGGTTGTCAATTTGGAGTATGATGATTTTTTAAAAATCTTTATTGTTGAAAGTATTACATAGGTCCTCCTTTTCCCCCCATTAACCTCTTCCAGCCTGCTCCCATCTTTCCCCCACCCCCAGGATATGATTTTAAAAATATATGCTTTTATTGATTTCAGAGAGAGGAAGGGAAAGAGAGAGATAGAAACATCAATGATAAGAGAGAATCATTGATTGGCTGACTCCTGCACGCCCTCTACTGGGATTGAGCCCACAACCCAGGCATGTTGCCCTAACCCAGAATTGAACTGTGATCTCCTGGTTCATTGGTCAGTGCTCAATCACTGAGCCACAATAGCCAGGCTACGGTATGATTTTTAACAATGATGTAACAGTAAGTATTAGAAGGCTGATGTGAGATGTTGCTATAAGTAGGTCCTCGGGTTACGTCGAAGATCCTACAGCAAGACATAATGTGATTTTTGCTGTAAGTCAGAACCCACCTAACCACCTGCATAAGCACCTACATCACTCACATGGAGCACATATACAGCAGTAATGAAGTGAAACAGTAAGAAAAATTTAAAAGGAAGATAACAATTCCTGACCTTTACTTGTGGTAAGTAAATAATAAAAAACATAAAGCACATATGTACATATGTTGAAATGACGAAACTTTTTTTTTATATAAATGGAGATGGCAACGTTATCAAATAGTTCTTAGATTAATGTTTTACAATTATGTTTTTGTGATGAGGTACTAGTTTGTTTATTATGTTTTTATTGATTTTAGAGAGAGTGGAAGGGAGAGGGGGAGAGAGAGAAGCATCAATGAGACAGAGAAATATCAATCAGCTGCTTCCTGCACACTCCCAAATGGGGATTGAACTCACAACGTAGGCATGTACCCTGACCAGGAATCAAACCAGCAACCTCTTGGTGCATGGGACAATGCTCAAGCAACTGGGCTACATTGGCCAGCATGACAAGGTACTAGTTGTGTGTTTTTTTAATGTTGTGAAATTATTTATTAAAGAAATTATAATTTACTTTTTAAATAAATCCAGGTTGTGAAATACTTTTATTAAGACTAAATACTTAAACTGGCCTCATCTTTTCAAAAATCAGTGTCATAAAGCAAAAAGTAGAAATGGGGAGGAACTGTTCTAGATTTTAAAAAACTAAAGAGGCTTCAAAAAACTGGAGAGGCGGAGGAAGGAGTTCTGTTCTCAGTGCCTCGGGACTCAAGACTGCAGCATCGGTTCTTCCCTGGGTCTCCAGAGTGCTGGCCTGCCCTGCAGATTTCAGGCTTGTCAGTCGATGGAGCCCTAGAGATGGAGTTATTGCAGAATTGCTGTCAATGAGCTTTGGGGGAACTCATGTCAACAATGATATGAAAGGAAAATTGAAATGGCATTCACTAGAAACAGTTGAAGTTGCCAGAACCAGTAATTGACAGTGGGACAAGACACAAGGGAATTTGCAATCTCATGTTTCTGAATACGATGCACAAGAGCTACAAATAAGAGGTCTGAGAGAAAATGGCGGAGGTATAAACGGACGTGTCCTGTGCCTTGTCCTGGAGCAGATAAGGGTGAGCAGCTGAAACGGGTAACATACAGCCCGAATAGGAGAGGATTTTCAGCTGAGAGACTGTCTGCAGCTGGGAAAGACCGAGAACCCCCAGAAAAAAAAGGACGGTTGGAGACTGCGGCTGAAACCTCTCTCGGTGCGCCAGCTAAGCAGCGGAGACTACGCCATCTTGGGTGGCTGTTGCCGGCATCCAGAGATCAGCTACTAACCTGGAAACAAGGGATCTCAAGCAGCGTGACTGCGTGAACTCAGATGAGCACTGCTTCTTCTCACGGAAAGGTTAGACTTCCCTTAAAGGTGCAGTTTGCCATTCGGGTTGGAGAGAGGACCGAGCTCATGCGCGCGCAGGTCAAAATCTGCGCCCCACAGAGTCCGCAGCCGTTGGGACCAGCGTGACCCATGAGTGGGGAAGGGGCCCCACAGGGCTGCTGGCAGAAGGGAACGCTAAAAATAAGCCCATAGCTGGACTGGATGTAAAAAAGCAGCCTTGGACCTTGCCAGTGTGCCGGCTGCTTGGTGCCAGGGGCGAGTGGGCGCGAGGAGACTGTGCGCAGACCTGGAAGGTGGAGGCTTGCGAATTCGCACAATGTATCAGGCTCTTGTTACAGTTCCCCTTAGATCCGTGCATTTGATTATTAAACCCAGTGCATGGGATTTTCCAGTTGGGGTCATTCGCAGAGCCTGTAGGGGAAAGTTCTTTTTGGGGAGCCTAGGAAACAGAGCGGGCAGTAACGTTTAAAGAACCAGCTCTGGGCAGTGGACTTTCCCAAATCAGTTTCAAGTACCATAGAGAAAAAAAACCGTACTGATAGAGAGGACTTATAGCCTTGGAGGTAAATCCAGACACACTGCCACCCAGAGGCAGATCCACGAACTGTCTCTTCTGTGATCACAAATAAAGGCAGTCTGGTAAACAAATACAACCTGCCTTAAAATCAGGACTGTGGTTTAAGGCACGGAGGGACAGCGTATCGCAGGGAAATTCAACACTCTCCTGAATGCCTGGCAGGACTAAGGCGTGCCAAAAAGAAGAGTAGAAGATCTGAAGCACCTTCACTACTGCATATTTTTATATTTTTTTAAAATTCTTTTTTCACCATTTCATTAAGAACCTATTTTATTATTTTTTTTATTTTTTTTTCATCACTTGATTTTACCTTTTTAATTACATTTTTTAACCAGTATTATTGCTATCATTTTACCATTTTTTCAAGTGTCATTTTATTTTTTATTTTTTTATTTTTCTTTATTTTATTTTGGGATTAGTGTTCTGCACTCTATTTTCGTCGTTCCTTTAGCATCATTTCTCTCTATCTCACATTTACCCTTAAGCCAAAACTCTCTTCCTCACTTTTCCCCTTTTGTTGTCCTGTTTCTCTTACCCTATTCCTGCTTAGATTTTCCCTATTCCTTCTTTTTACCCACTGTCTAAATTTCACCCTACTTATAGATCTAATTTCCAATCCCTTGCTCTAAATCCATATACACCTCTCTCTTATCTTTCTTCACTATCCAATTCTTTTTCTCTCTCTCGCTGTTG